TGAGTGTTTTGAAATTGTCAGCTAAACTAATAATTCTGCTGCAACACCAAACCGAAATGTTCTTAGTAGGTTACTAATTCTACTTTTTTTCAAGTGCTCCTGCTTGATATGTAATAATGCCATTACGTCCCACAGTGAAACATGTTTGTTGCCCTTGCTGGACACTTTCCATCTTTATTCTTAACCCCACCCCACTCCGTGAGATGTGCATTGTTTACAGTAAAAACACCTCATATTTTGGTCCATGCAAACATATTTGAACTGTACACATACGATGGTTTGTTTACACTGTCACTTTGTAGCAATCTTTAGCACTAGCCCAGAGGTGTTTGTTATGTCTGCCTTTGTAGGTGTGTTGTAATTGCATACAGAAGTAAGTTATTTTATTTTTGGTCCCAAACCAACAACATCATTTTCAGTACATAAAATGTATGAAATGCAGCTACAGAAGACAAAGCCTATTTAATAAGCAAATCTGTAAGAATCTTTTAGTGGATTGTATAACCTGACACACAAAATGTAGCTATTTTTTATATTATAGCAGACTCCTTGTCTGAAAATAGGTAAGAAGCTTTTAAAAATGTGAATAATCAGGAAGAGCCAATAAAATAAATAAATCTCTCTCTCTTCTCCCCCCACAACTCTCTCTCTCCCAAATACTTTAGGAATATAAATCATAATCTGTTTACTGTAAGATAATGAAATAGATAATGAACTAAATGTGTATGGAGGGCTCAGGATGCGAAGAGCATTGACACGAAGTGCAACTGATCACTTAATTCATTTTATGAAAATATTTCAGAAGAAAGGTTTGAGCCATCTCTGCATAGGAATACCTTGTATATATATCAACAGACCTTTATATAGTTATGTACAAAAGACACACACCTCTTATTCAAACCATATATTGTAACTTCATATTGCTGATTTTGGCTAGTGTGCCACTTGAAACCCCATCTAGCCCAGATGGCTTAATGAGGATGACTGATGGCTCAGTGATGGTGACTGATGCCCTGATCACTTGGTTGGAGCCCTGGTGGCACAGTGGTTAGAACAGTGGTTCTCAACCTTTCTAATGCCGTGACCCTATAATACAGTTCCCCATGTTGTGGTGACCCCCAAGTGGGTGTGGCCACCAATAAGAGGGAGTAGGACAGCTAGGGAAAAGGGAAAAAAATGGCGGACAGCGTGGTTTGGCGACCCCCGTGAAATGGTCGTTCGACCCCAAATGGGGTCCCGACCCACAGGTTGAGAACCACTGGGTTAGAATGTAGTATTGCAAGCTAACTCTAAGCACAGCCTGGAGATCGATCCTGACCGGCTCAGGGTTGACTCAATCTTCCAGCCTTCTGAGGTGGGTAAACTGAGGACCCAGATTGTTGGGAGGCAATAGGTTGACGTTGTAAACCACCCAGAAAGTTCTGTAAAGCACTCTGGGTGGTATATAAGTTCTAAGTGCTATTGCTAGTGCTCTTGCATTACTTCAGTGAATCTCACAATAGGGTTGCCCTTGGAAATGACTTGACTTGCAGCTGGTACAGAATGTAGCAGCCATACTGCTGACTGGACAACCCTGCCATTTCAGGATAATATTAATCCTTAGGTTGCTGTCTTGGATCCTAGGAGGCTCTCAGGTTTAATTCAGAGTGCTGGTTTATCAGGTAGAACCAGATTATAACATGCACCACCTTGGCAGATTTGAACTTGCTCATCTTGTCTGAACATCTCAAGGTGCTATGGGGAAACTCCCCTCCCTCAAAGGTTGTATATGCCTATGCACAAGGCTGCAAGCACACTCTCAGAGATACGTTTCGCCTCTTTCCTTTTTCCATTTCACAAGGCCATTAAACCCATATTATTCCAATGTATCTTCAGCTTGAATGGTTAGATTCTGAGCATTCCTCTTGGGTGAATATGGTGTTGCTTTATTTTACAGATTATTTCTTTTTCTATTTTTTTGTTTGCCACCTAGATTTGCAGTTGATTTGGCTGGTTTGCAAATATGATAGAATAAATAGAGGAAAGTTTCCAGCTGCCCTCTCAAAGAAGGCATTTTTTCTCAGCACTACAGCAGGAGGGGAAAAGAGAAAGCATCCCCACTGTGCTCTCTAAATGCCCAATAATTACCAAATGTCATGACCCTGAGATGGTATTTCTCTTCTGAAAAAGCTGCACAGTAAATGCAAAGATACATAAAATATATCTGTAGCAACAGCATATAGCAATAGTTTTCTGGTTGATTGTGGAAAGGTGCAGTTGATAAACGGCAACAACATATTTGAAGTAGCAAAGGAGGCTAGACAGGATTCATGTGCAACTAAAGGAATGTTCAGGAGATCTGCCAGATCTGGGCCATAAAGGACTGGAAGGCAGAAAAGAGATTTCAGGGCAGCACTACCTGCTTGTCCTGCTTTCAACAATTGCTGGGTTCTGAACCATTCCTTGTTTGTGCATGAATCAATGGCAGGGCACAATTATGAAAAGTGTACATTTTTGTGCATTAGCATAGATTTGGAAAAAAAATGAACATAGGGTTGTTCAACAAGTGAATATAAATGCAGATGCTATTTTGTGATTCAGAGAGGGGGGGGGTTCATTAATCACACCAATTTCATGCAACTATATCCTGTATGTGAATCAACAAATTGTTCCTCAATGTCTTAGTCTGGTCAAGCGACAGAGTTTTCTAATATGCTTTCATTTAGTCCTACAAGGATTAAGTTACTGTTAATTTCTTTGCATTTCCTCTACCAAATTCAATTTTACAAGCTCAATTGGCAGGAGGTTTCCAGTTTTGTCCTTGCCAGCGCATGTGCCAAGGTTGCTTTGATTTTTATTAGGATGTTTACCATTATCCAAAACTCCTCATTGCTCTGTGCTTTAACAGAAGTAATCACCGACATAGCACTTTGCATGTTTCAACTCAGGTAAAAGTCATCAAGAGCATAATATACTTTTGTTTCCTTCTGAACTTATAGGTATGAGGACAAAGATGCTGAAATATGTTCTCTTCAATAGCATATTTCAGCAAACGCGTGTTAATAATAGGATGGTATTTTCCCTTTTGCTTTGACTTGGGAGCTATTGCTTCAGTTACAAGAATGGTGGTCATAAACTTAGCACTTATTTCTACTCGTAATATTGCCGCTCAACCCTTTAATGAGGTAATTTCATCATTATTATTTTTCTACTTTACAAGACTGGTTATAAATTGAAGAGGTTGGAGTAGTTATTTGTATGTGTATGTGAGAATATGTGTGTGTTTAAAAGAAAGATAAAAACTGATACAAAGAATAAAATAGAATAAAGTAAACATTCACTCTCTCTCAGCCCACAATGACAAACTCAGGTGATAAGCAGGTTGGTTAATTCCTATCACAACCAATGGATCAACACTTGGTTGATTAAAAAGAACCCAGTCCTGCATTTGCAAAAAAAAACACTAAGAAGAGAAAAAAATGCAGATTGTTATAGGCATATTTTTTCACAGTGCAACTGCAGTTTTGTGTTTTCTACATTTTATATTTTTTGTATTCATATAAGCATGATTTTCAAGTAAATATTGTTAATGGAATCTTAATATTCTTTGATATCATATACAGCATGAATAACTTCAAAGGTGCTTTTCCTTCTATAAGCATATTTGGGTAAAGTTCTTCAATGTGCAACTATTAAATTTGACAGCTAAACTGTTTGTACCCATGTTTTGTGAAGAAAGCAACAGTCAAGATTGTTTATAATCAGTGTTTCTCAACCTTGACAATTTTAAGGCATGTGGACTTCAACTCCCAGAATTCCACAGCCAGCATTGCTGGCTGTGGAATTCTGGGAGTTGAAGTCCACATGCCTTAAAATTGTCAAGGTTGAGAAACACTGGTTTATATGATGTGGGGATGGGGTGAGTTTGATATAGCAGTCCTCTCTTGTGATTCTCTGAATAGTAATTTTCAAGAACATTTCACAGGTTCCAAACTTTCCCATGCTTAATCCAGAACATTCATCCTCTCCAGGTTGCAATACTCAGAAATGAGGAAGGATGAGATTTCTTACCTAGTACTAACTTCAGCCTAATGTAGGTTACTTCATTAGAATAATAGCTCGGAAGAAAAACTTAAATAATTCTTCCCCTTTTTATTAACTTAAAAAGGAGGTAGGTAGGTTACGAAATATGAAATACAAACAAACAAATGCAATGAGTAATTCAACATGAGTTTAGTCTAATTTGATCCTACCCTAGCTGCTAAATGAACAATTCTCAGATGCCAGAAGACATATATTTTCTCTTCTTGCAAGTTTGTAACAACTATAGTTGTTGGGTGTAGTGATAAAAGACGCTGGATTAGAAGTTGGTAAACTTTTAGTTGTCGTTCTGTCTTAGACACAAAAGCCAGCTGGATGACTTTGGACCAGATATACATGCTCTGCTCCAGAAAATAGATACTGTTGAGCCAAGAAAACATGGGTTTGTTCCTGCAGTCCTTAGGAGCCAGGGTTGACCTGAATGACCAAAACAGTTGCCCCTAGAAGAATTCCTACAATCCTGTAAAAAGCATGAATCATCCTGACCTCTATGAACAGTGTTAATGGGACAATTATTTTATTGCTTATTTACTTAAATTCCATGGTCATGATTTGAGCAGGGAGCCTCCGTTGCCCTTATTACATGGATTTAGAGGAGATGGATCTGTGTTTGGTTTTAGTTCAGCCATCCAGAAATGTACACAGTTAAGGCCAGCTAAACATTCCCAAGCAGTTGCCTACATCTCCTCCTTATTGGGCAATTCATTGTTATTCAAAGAGCCTCACTTTCTCTACTTTCTGGAAACCTTTCTGCTTTCTCTGCATTACAGGATCAGATGTGTCAGGTTTCTACCCTTTTCTCCTACCCCCACCTTAACACTTTTCTTGTCTCAAATTTCTCCGCTTCCCAGCTTGCCCTGTGCAATGCTTCAAATAGTGCACCGTTGTAAACAAGCCTGAGCCTCCTCTGTGTGAGGTGAGCAGGCTCTGATCAAATGGGCAGAATGGAGCTGTCGAAGTGAGTTCAGACTAGTCTCTTCAGGGCTGAACTTCTCTCCCTTGCAATATTGTTTGGGGTGGTGCTGCCATTTATTTTTGTGGGTCTGGTCTAAACAAACTCCAGTCCCTTATAAAGACAGGATGACTTGTTGGCTCAGTTCAACTCCTGTTCTACTGGGGCTAAAAAGCTTGCCAAAGAGAGGAGTGGGAGGCTCAGAAACAGCGTGCTGAAGGAAGAGTTGTCTGCCCTAATCTCAGAATGTCTGAAATGAGAGTGGATGCAACAGGGGACTGTCTCACGGAAATGACAGGAGATTTCATTTCTCAGTCTGACACGAAGAGCAACTGCAGCAGTGCAGACCGGGCACCCTCCAACATAAATTCTGTGGTCATCTGCCAAGCAGTTTGCAGAAGTATCTTCGGCTCTAGCACATCTTCAGCAGCTGAGAGGGTTAGCCTGATCCTGAAACAGGAGGAGAATGAAGAAGCAAGCTGTCCCATACTATTTATACAGCTTTCCGAGCTCTTCAGTACAGCTGAAAGACAGGAATGGAGGCAAACTGCCAGGTGAGTCCCCAGAGACAAAGGTAGGGATAAAACCCACCCTTTACATGCAGGAGCCCCTCTTTTACTGGGGTCTAAGTCTAGGACACTTGCCTAGTTGCCCTTAGCTAGCAAGAATGAAATGGTGCTAAAAATGAGTGGGACTGTCAGAACAAGGCTCTGAAGCTGAACAGCAGGAGCCCACTCCTAAGGAACTGAGTTAACTCACTGCATTTTAAAGTCACACACAAAAGTGTCACCAGTAAGGCCATTTAGTCCAGAACCTACAGTTACCCATCTCCTTCACTGGTGGGAAGTGATGCTGCCTCCCTCCATTTTTCCTTGCTTTTTTTTCTCTTTGCATGCATAGATGTGAACAGAAGACCTTTCCTCACTTGTACTTCAATATGGGGCAAAGGTGCTCTGGCAGCAGCTCTTCTCTGCCATGTGCCAATAAGTTGATTTCATTTCATCCCAACGATGAATGGAACACCTTGAAGTCATCCTCAAGCATACCGGATTGAAGTAATAATTTCCCTCTTATTGCCGGTCTGTGCAAAGGCAGCCTCTCCCATTATCTTGGAGTGCACTGATTGGGAGCATAGGCAATGCTGGCGTGATAGGGATAGGCAAGGGAGCACCCAATTACAGGTCAAGCTAGATATCTGCTAACTAAGATATGGGTGGAGAACATTACATATCCCCTTAGAGCAGTGAAGTGGCCGGTAAGAGGTAGGATTATGGAACTGACCTGCCACTGCTTTCCTCCTGGAAGTTTTTATCAGCTTCTCAAGGTCTGAGCTTATTTAGCTTCTGAACCTGAGGAAGTCAGATCAGTCAGGATCTGTCACCCGTTGGAAACTGCAGAGTCAAACCGATCTTAACAAGGTCTGTATCGAGGTCTGTAACTAACCTGAGATGAACCATCCTCCTCTTAACCATCCTTCCCCTTAAGTGTTTTTAAAAAACCATCTTTAAAAAGAATATAAACCGTGAAAGATGAAACACATATGAAATATTTAAAAGTAGAACACAATTAGTAAGATGCAGATAAGTAAAAATATATCTAGAATTTTGGTGTTAATATGGTTTTCAACTTAGCATTAACTGAGGGTGAAGGTTCGTTCTCCAGGCTTGGGGGGTTGGTTTCCAAACATTTCATTACCAACTAAGTAATATTTTCAGCAGAGTTTAAGGGATGTCAGTGTTCTTCTGGGCCACACGAAGCCTTTATAAACAGAGAAGCACGGACACTGATATCCCTTAAACTCTGCTGAAGATATTAATAAGTAGCATATAAAACCGTTGCTGTGGTTAACATTTATGTATAATTTGAAGGTAATGCCTGGTTTAATAAAATGTAATCGGAACATTACAAAATGCAAACAGAGTTCAGCTTTCAAATTTTGTTTCATTCTAATAGGAATTATTTTCCCAAACTGTTGAGTTATGCCACCTTTGCCACCAAATATAAAAAAAAGATCTAACCAAATTCATTTTAGTAAATGCGCCAGTCATGGAACGTATTGTACCAATTTACTCTATGTGTATTATTTGGAGAGGGGTGGGTTTTTTTTGCCCTTTCATTAAATTTCCCATTGTTTCATTTCTGTTACTACATTCAATTTTTTACATACAATTACAATCATGCAATCTTTGATCTCTTATAATGAATCATATTTCATTAATAGTTTAATAAATTAAAACCAATAACTTTTCAAAATTGCACATTATAAGATTTTCAAATTTTATCAAGTCTTCCTTAGTTTTTGCAATTCTTTTCATGCTATATCACTTACTTGGAAACACTGAAATGGGTTGAAGTAAAGTAGACCATTGTGAGATAAGAGTTTATCTTTCTCTTGTTAACAATTTAAGATTTCCAGACTGAAGAAATAAGTGTTAACCTGTAAATTGTGGTTTTTATCTCATGATATGTAAACATACTTTCTGCTGCTCTAATTGCTTGCTTTCCTACCAAACACCACTAGCAGTTAGGGAATATCCACAAATCATAACAGTAGCTATGAGGATTCCCTCACTTTACCCTAAACTTAGATTTCCCCCCAAATCTCACATGAAACAAATTCAAATGAAGTGAGACACAAAACTAATGGGAAAAAGGGGGAATTGCAGGGAATGGTGTCAATTTTTGGAATTCCAATGCATACACACAAAGGCCATCAACTTATTCTAAAGCTATGTTATTGTAACATATTTTCCTTCTTTCCTTATGTTCTGTGTACAGGTAGTCCTTGACTTACAACCACTATTAAGCCCAAAATTTCTGTTGTTAAGTGAAACATTTGTTAAAATGCGGTTTGCCCCATTTTACAACGTTTCTTGCCACAGTTGTTAACTAGATCACTGCAATTCATAAGTTAGTAACCTGATTATTAAGCGAATCTGGCTTCTCCATTGGCTTTGCTTGTCAGAAGGTCACTGTTGAGTCCTTGGTGGGAAGCAGACACGAGAAGCAGTTGAAGTTCTGTTTCCTTTATTCAGCGTTCAGCTTACAAGTAGATGGCTTCAGCAGCTCCCAAACCCTCCCAGCTTCTTATATAGACGCTTCCCGGGTAAATGTGATACTTTTCCCGCGCCAGCACCCGCGCATGCGCATGGCGCTGGTGACAGCCTGTCTGGTCCCGGGCAGCTTTGCACCTGCCCGGGACTGCCTGCAAACGCCCGAGCCGTTTGCAAGGCTCGGGACATAACAGTCACAAAGGGCGATCACATGATCCTGGGACACTGCCACTGTCATAAATATGAGTCAGTTGCCAGCGAATTTTCAATTTTGGTCATGTGATTATGGGGATGCTGCAAAGATCGTAAGAATGAAAAACGGTCATAACTGACTCATAAGTCACATTTTTCAGTGCTTTGAATAGTCACTAAACGAACTGTTGTAAGTCGAGGACTACCTTTACTGTGAAATCATTTTCTCCATCTTTTCTATTTCTAATGTGAAAGTCATCACAGCAGACAAAGCAATGGTACTCTATTTGCATTCTTTGTTATGTTGTATACAATAGATTCACCCATGTGAAAAACTCATTCGAGGTCTGAAGATCCTTCGTCAGCTTTGTTGTGCTGTAATAAACCCAACTTTCTTTTTAGTATTAAATATTTCCTTTTCCTTTTAGATAAGGTAGTGAACAAAATGTTAATGACCATTTTGACTCCAGAGAAAACAATAGCACAGGTATAGAAGTATGTGACAGGTAGGACACAACTAGAACTGCACAGCACTATGGTAAATGCATAAGTGAAGGTTTTTGACTGGAAAATGTTTCAGTGGTTTTGGTGAGATTAAGCCTTGGCTTGTTTTTATGCCTTTGGTACAAATTGTCTGTGTTCACACAAATTTCATGACAGCAAATAGCCCTTGAGGAGCTTCAACTGACCTGCGAGGGGTATAGCCAGGCACTCCAAGAAGCCCCTTCCCTCAGCCAAGCGTTGGCAGTTCAGCACCTCAGCCATTATTTTTAGAAACCAGCATGGCCCACTGCTGTTTCAGTGAAGATCAACTGCCTGCTGGTGATCTCAGCTGAGCTCTGTGACAAAGGTTCGGACTTGATGTCAGCCGAGAGATTTTGCACTCAGCCATGTTAGACGTCCAATTGCTCTTATCCCAATCTCAGTGATAATATCCTTCCCAGGGCCAGAACACACCCGTCCCAGGGCAGGATGGATCTTATTATTGCTCATGTCTTTGGAATGGGCAAATCTTTTCCCCCCTGATTCTTCACTGATTTATGAATGGTAAAATAGGTTCCTGAGGCCTATTTGTGGGGAGGACAGTTCAAACAATTGTATTAGCAATTTCCTGACAGATTTCTTTAGAATGAAAGTGTTTGGGTAATTACAAGAAGGGATCCTAGAAATGCCTCTGCTCAGTTTAGAACCTTACTCTTGCTTAAGCTTGAGAAAGGGAGGATAGAACAATGATATGTAGCATATTTATTTGAAAAGTAATGCTTTGATGATCCATGATCTTGTGTGCCATCAGGTCGGTGTCAATTCTTAGTGATTGATGAATCATAAATGGAAATATAAATTGGCCTGTGAACACGGGATTTAATTACTCCTTTAATTAAGGTATTTTATTGCAGGTGGATAAAATTTGAAGAAAAAGTAGAAGATGGAGGAGAACGTTGGAGTAAACCTCATGTCACAACTCTGCCCCTTCATAGTTTGTTTGAACTTAGGACCTGTATAAGAAAAGGAGCTGTTCTTCTAGACTTGGAAGCTCATAGTTTTAAACTAATAGTTGGTATGTAGAAGTGTAAAAAAAAAAAATCTCTCCTTCATGAGACATCTTCTATTCTCGAACAAAAGCAACTCCTTCAGTGAAAACACTACTTTCTTAATTAGTGTTTGGCTCAGTTTAAGCTTTGGCATTGCATGGTTTATACTGATTTAACATGGTTTATTTCTAGGCTTCTGCATTGATGAAGTTCTGCTGAAGTAAAGAATCTAAATGTTTTGCTTAATTTCAGATAAGTTTATATGCAATGAACCATTTGAATACTGGCATTTATTCTGATTAGTTATGTGAAATTTGAATAGGAGAGAGAAGATCTCACTATGGTCTCTCCCCAGCTCTTTATGACAGAGCTTTACTGCTTGCAAGGGTTTCTCTCAATGTAGAAATTAAAAGGAAATAGGCAATTATGCAGCTCTGTCAAAGTGAAAATCCAAGACCTGTATATATTTCACTTTCAGAGCTGGGAAAGTAGGCAGGAATTTCATTTCATTCTGTCTACAGTTACTATCTTGTGCTGTACCATTCAAGAAGTTACTTTTGGTTGGGTCCATTTGATGTTCATTTTTCTACAGGTACCATTTAAAACTTTGAATTATACTTATGTAATATTTTGCAAAACGTTAATGGTGTAACGGAAAAGAAGTACACAGGAAAGAAACACTGAGAATTAGTTTACAACCGAGATTGTTGATTCTTCTTGTTACCTGCAAACTCCCCTGTTCACTCTGAGAGCAAGATGCAATCCCCACAATAACAGGGAAGAGCCAGAAGAAGATTTTTTCCAGCAGCAACAAGAAAAAAAACGACTCCAGAATCTTGAGCTTCCAGTAGTCTTATATCTCAGGACACCTTCTTTTTTCCCTTCTTGCTCGTTCTTGTGCACTGTTAAATCCTTCTACCACTTTTTCTAAAGAAGCAAGGGATGATGGTTCTCTTGGGGTTTTTTGCATGGAGACACATATGCTTAATGCAAAAGTTAACATAAACTTGGATGGAATCCAAGTTCATTTACTTGGACAGTAGTTAGCAGAATGTATGCATATGAATAAGCCCATTAAATTATCTAGCCATGGATGCTTAAAAAAGGATAAGTGCCTTCCTCAAAAACATGCATGATATGAAATATAGGATTATATGAATTATTTTCTTATAAGGAACAAGCAAGTTAACAGTAAACACAGCCTAATCAAGAAACCACCAAAACCACTCCCACGAACACTGACAGGGCAAGCCACTAGAATGTAAAATGACAGCAAACCCCACCCCCTTCTAGCACTGACGATGTAACCTAATTTGGCAATGAAACAACTGCAAGAAAAAAACCATGCTCAGAAAGCACCAAGAACATATTTCCTTATCGCAAGAGAGAGAAAAAAGGAAAAAAGGACTGTTCTTGTAGGAAGTAGGCTAAAGCCTTCCAAGGAAGGGAAAACAGAGCAGAGAGAGAGAGTATCTGAGGAATTCCGTTTCTTGCTATCTCTGTTTCTATGCCACTAGGATAAGTAAAATAGAATATGCAAAGTATCCATGCTTCTTGAGCTATATAATCAACACAACCTGCTATAGTATAGGGCAGTGGTGGCAAACCTATGGCACGCGTGCCAGAGGCGGCACTCAGAGCCCTCTCTGTGGGCACACGCACCGTCGCCCCAGCCCCGCCTCCTCCCACGGCCCCCTGCTCACCAGCAGCCCTCTGGAGGAGAGTCGCCCCCGGGCACGGCCCACGCAATGCTGTGCAGCCAAGGACATGGTAGCCGGGCAGCGGGGACAAGACTCTGCCCTTGCACCCCATCGTGTGCAGATAATGCTGCAGGGCACAGGCAGAGGGTGTGGCCACCATGGCGCTGCTGGGCTGCCTGGATGATCTGTGGTGGGCTGTGGAGGTGGTGGGTGGTCCAGCGGGCACGGCAGAGCAGGGACAGGGGTGGGGGTGGTTTTTGGGCACTCAGTCGCTAAAAGGTTCGCTATCACTGGTATAGGGTATTCTCGGGGTCTAGAAAGGCAATGTAATCTGTCCCAAATCAGAGTTACAGAAAAATTTCAGTCTGCTCCCAGTCAATCCAGAAGCAGTCCTATCCAAACATGTCTCCAGACCAACACTGTGATTTGGAAAAACAGAAACACCATCAGCTCTCAAGAACTAGTTTGCTTTATTGTACTTTATTAGTCTAATCAAATTTGAGGGAAAGCCATGGCATGCCAAATCCACGTAATGGGTTCGCCTATCACATTAAGCCACAGTGAAGTTTGTTTGGCTTTGGCTTAGAAAGTTAAATGAACCTCAAACAATGTGATTTGTAAACCATAGCTCAGTCCATTGTGGAAACTCAGTCACTTGAGGTTTTTTCAGTATAAAATAGATACTACAGCATGTAAATCGGGCAATGAGTCAACAGAAGAACAAACAGTGTAGGAAAGTTAGATACATTCCAGAAACTCCATCCTATCCATGACTTATCCTACTATGTTCACCAGGGAGTATTTTTCCTATTAAACTAAATTTTAAAGGTTGCAAGTTTAATTTAGTAAAGGAATCAATATTGTTATTGAAATTGTTGGATTACCTTACCTCCAGTTGAATCATATATGGATTTATTTCTATTTTATTAAAACCATTGCTAATTAATATAGAGTTATTGATACAAAATGCCTTTCAATAAATTTTAAAAGGTAGATAGGATTGCAGAAAAGGAAGTGATTTAGTAGCTTCACCATGGGTTCATTTTATGTTCAAGAGAAAGTGATTGAGGTCCAGATAGAGAAACAGGCCTTCAAGCCGGAACTTTTGAAGAAACTTGCCTATATCTTACTCCTCAAACCTTATCATCATGCAGCCAAATCTCAGCTGAAGATGCTGTTTGAGATGGGCATGTCCTTTTGTGCTGGTAAGTAACTAGCATTTTTTTTTCTTACTGCCAATTCAAATATGAAGCTTAGATGCTATGTAGCTACCCCGGTCTTGTGTCAGACATAAGCAGCAGGAAAAACTTCATAGTTTAACACTGATGTTTGCCTGTTAATGATGGCAGTATAGCATTTGCTCCAGCTTTTATCAGCACATTTTTAAACTCTGCACCCAATTACCTCTTTAAGGCCTAACCTGTTATCCTACATAAATGGGGTTTACTTCTCCCATTAATAAAAGCATGCTAAAGAGTATCCTTCCCACTTTCTTGTCCCTGTAATTACAACAGCAGCAAATAAGCATGCATTACAGAGATGCCCCTAGAGCACTGACAGAATGGAATGGAAAGGACTCTCCAATCAGAAGAGAGAGAGAGAGAGCAATAAATAATTCTTACTATGCTAATATACAATCTGGACCTTTTGCAAAGTGAGGCAAAAATTCTGAAGGCAGATGAATGTGAAAGTTTTTTTTTGTTTTGTTTTGTTTTGTTTTGTTTTAAATGTTGCAGATAGGGCTAACAGACATTCAGATGCAAGGTGTGAGGTCTCAGAGGTACCATTAATGGAACAGGTAAGCAATGGTGTTAAATGTAAAAGTGGAGGGGGAATGATACAAAGGTGGGGCTATCAAGTGAAGGATATTCCTATAAGACACCCAAACAGCAAAATTAGACATAGTGGTCCAAGTGTGGTCTAACCAGAGCAGAGTGGAAAAATTACTTCCTGTGATCCAGACTTGGTAGTCCTATTAATGAACTTAAGGTAGCATTTTCTTTTTGAGCAACTCACAATCTGTCTCATATTTAACTTGTAATTGACAAAGACATACATTGCACTTTTATTTTGCCTACCCAGATTAGGAAAGGTTAATAGCTGATGGCTTTGAATAATTTTACTAACTTTCTACCAAGTATTGGATATCAGCACCTGGAAGGCAGCATGCACTATGCAACACTATTTTGGATCTGTGCACATCTGCCTTAGTTCCTATGGAGACAGAATCATTCACCAGTATAACAGTCTCTAGTTTCTCAAGATGACTTGTGCTGTCAATCAGCAGAGTAGCAGCCATCAGTTTAACCTTCTGTCTCTTCCAACTCTCTTGCCAAACTCCTATTTCCTCCCAGTTTGCTCGACCTTTTCCATTTGGTCTGAGGTCTGCCTACCTCATTCAGAAAATTGAAGCGTTATACTTTCTTTTATCCAGCACTCAAGAAACCAGAAAAACCTCTCACCCTTTTATTTTATAAAATATAATTTTATCAATTTTTATTATGATCACAGACTAGCATATAATTTTATTTCTATAAGAGTAGCTTCGGCATTCTAATGTCAGGCATGTAAGATTCTTTATCTGGGAGAAGACAAGAATCAAGACAAGAAGGGATGGGTACAATGGAACAACTGAACAGGGGCTCACACAGAAATCAGGTAACCATATCATGAAAATAATTTTCATATCATGAAAGCCATATCATGAAAAAGACACATGTGCTGTTAATGTAACATTGGGGATACTTCAAACATTCCATTTAAACCTCATAGTTCAAGTGGCAGTTCCAGCTTCCCGAAACTGACTTTGTTTTTGGAAGCCAGCTGGGAAGATTATAAATGGTGATCCCATGATGGCAAGATTGCAACCGTCGTAAATGTGAGCCAGTTGCCAAGCACCTGAATTTTGACCACATGACTGTGAGGATGGCACAGTAGTTGTAAATTTGAGAATAGGTTGGAAGTTACATTTGCCAAGGCTGTCATAACTTCAAACTGCAGTTAAATGAATAGTCATAAGTGAAGGACCACCTGTATATCAACATTATATCATTTTATAAAAATTCTCTCTCTGAAGGAAATGTTTTTCCATGCTGTTCCCATGGCATGCATTCCTACTTCCTGTTATAAATGAAGTACGACTAATGGTTATTAGGCTGTGTTAATGGCAGTGGGGGATGATAGTATTTCTCAGGGTCTGCTCTAGCATCTTTCATATAATTAGTCTGAAAATTAGTCTCCTACTGATTTTGTGGTTTCTTTCACTCTTTCACTGCAGCTAAACAATCGGTTTAAAAAGAAAATTCCAGCTGGAACCGAAGTGGCCAACATTCTTGTAGGAGAAATCTCTTTCCTGGAAAAGCCCTTCATTGCTTTTGTGCGCCTGCAAAAGTCAGTGCTTCTTGGAAGCTTGACTGAAGTTGCTTTTCCTAGCAGGTAATCAGAGAGAATAGAAAAGAGGCCAGATGGTCTTTGTTAAGGACTGTTAGCACATTTCAGGCCAATACTGTATGCTTGAATGGAGCAACATGCTATTAGCATCAAGCATCTCAGATGAAGCTACCTTTGGAAATTAAAAGAGCCAACTATCTTCTGATTATATAACTACAGGACTGCAGCCTGCTCACTTGCAACACTTAATATTCAGTTGTAGCAGCTGGATGTGGCCTAAATTAATTAATATATCAGCCAGATAAAATGACTTTGGACCAATGCATCTCTGCTTCCTAGTCTTGCATTCTCCAAGTGGTTGGATATGTTCAGAAAGAAACTATGGGGAATGCTTAATTTGAATTTTTGCCTTGTACAAAGGATTGGACTTGGTTTGATTTTGATAATACAAGTGATCCTTTTCAGTTTCTGGCCTTTCTGAAATGTTATGCATGGAAGCACAAGCTAAGCTGCTGTTCATATCCCAGACCAAACAGATAGTGGCTCAGCTCACAACACAAGACTTATTGAACAAGCCTGAGTTCAGGCATAATGTAAATAACAAACCATTGTTTGTGAACTACAGTGAATAGAATCCATAAGGCCCAATACTCGACGTAATTTCTCACCAAACTGAGGAACAAGCCTACAATTACAGTTATGGAAAGAGGCCAAGTATTTGTGGTATCTGAGGCTCTCTGTTCTAGCTGGGCTCAAGGGAAATTATGTTCTCAACTATTGAGAACAATTGAGACAAAGACTCAAGAAAGTTCCTCCAGATTAAGAATGGATTAATCAGCACAGGAATCTAAACTCTTGTTTTCCATTCCATATCTTCCAATGCCTCCCTTTTTCATGGCTGTTTAGCTGTGTATAGGATTCTGGTATCAGTGATCAAGGAAAATGAGCTTGGGCTGTATTTATTTATTGAATTCCTTACTTTCTTGTACACTACACATTCCCAAAGGCTCTGTATATAGCGGTGCCAGTTATGACTTTTGTGTACCTGTTTTTAGATTCCTCTTTATTCTGTTGGGTCCCAGAGCCAGATTGAAGGCCTACCATGAAATTGGGAGAGCGATGGCAACTCTCTTAACAGATGAAGTAAGTTTGGTTGCTGTTGAACTGCCTTTGTCCAATTAGGATAGAATAAGGTGGCATTAATGCCTGGAAGAGAAGACAGCAACTGTTCAATATGTCCAAGACCAAGCTCCTAGTTGCCAAGAAAAGACGTAGACTAAATCTGGCCATAGAAGGCTTGGCTTTAATTTATTCTTTCATATTCCATTCATACTTCCTTATATTGCTAGATTTTCATTCAAACTGTGGTATGAATGATTTCTTCTCCACTGGAAGCAGAATAATATAATTTAGTAAATCACAAGTCATCCTCCATTCTGTTTCTACTACCGGTATAATAAAAAATAAATTTTAGAAGCAGTGAAGAGCAATAACAAACATCCTTTTAATAGAGGAATGTAACAAATGCAAAATTTGGCTTTAACCGTCATTCAGAAAATTGTCTAATTTACCATTAGGAGGCTAATGAATTTGAATTAAAAGCTGTATCTAAATCTCCTTTCAGAAATCTGAAGGTTTCTGATTCCCACTCTGTTGTTTGTTAGCAAAAATAAAAGACTTTGTGTGGAAAAAAAACATTTGCAAGAAAAGCATTAAATTCACATATTTCTATATTTTCAAGGGCCCTCAATATTAAGAAAATTAAACATTAAGTCAATTTCTTCATTTTTCATGTTTATATACATTGGGATTACACTGGGATTTATATACATTGCTTGATATACATAGGAATCATTTCTCTAAAGAATACTTTAATAGTGGAGATGAGCTATAGTCTTGGATATGGATTGGTTTTGAACTCAGAGGCTTCCCTTTAAATAACATCTAGAATGAAAGAGACCTTTGAAAAGTCACAATAAAAAAGTCCTAGTAAAAAAATTGCTCATCCTCTCACCAATTTTATTATATAAAACATCATGGAAAAATTATCACAAATATTTCAGAAGTGTGATTAGTAGTAAAATTTAAAATATCAAATAGTAGATTTTTTGTAAATGGAGACTACTTGCAAAATTGATGGAGAATATTTAAATATAAAATATTAAGAGTTTTTAGGATTGAAGATATTAAAAATAAGATTAGAGAAATTTAATCTTCTTAAAATGTAGGTATTATGCCTTTTAGAAATGATTTTTCAAATTTTTTAATTTTTGTGATTAGAAAAATGTAAATCTCATTGTGCTAGTATAAAATTCAGGCCCTACTGAACAAAGGAAAAGATTAATAGAATGCTTTTTATAGAGTAGTCTTCTAATTATGGGTCTAGTATCATGTGGTATTAAAATCACTCATTATTTTCATTTCTCACTCCAATGGCTAATGGCTATGAGCATCTATAAATCAGGTTATAAACATAAAAGTATAAAATCAAAATCTGAACATATATCAACCTAAATAAATAGGAAGAGCATCACTTCATGTCCAATAACAAAGGAACAACATTGCAATAACAACCCACAAGACCTGCATGAACCCAGTCTTCTTGGATGGGGACCTACTCCCAGGAATAGGCACCCTTGCAGATATTCAGGATCTGAGCTATAGAGGACTTTAACACTAACAGCATCTTGAATTGCATCCAGAAGCCCAACGGCAACCCTTTGTACCCCTTAAAGTAGCAAGGGCATACGAGCGTAGGATGCAAACCATTGCATCAGCTGCCATTTTCAATTGCTCTTCAAAGGTAGCCCCATTAGAATGTGCTGCAACAATCCAGGCAAAGCCAGTTGCTTAAGCAATTAGCCTACCCAATATCATTCACAGCTGCTCTGTCCTGTTTCACCTGTTATTTAGCAAATTTGGACAATCCAGATTCTTTTTGCAATAACTATTCGAAAGTCTGGTCTAGTGGTTAAGACATAAGACTAGAAAGCCAAAGACTGTGAGTTCCACTCCCACCTTTGCCATAAAAACCATCTGGGTGACCTTGGGCCAGTCCCCCCCCCCTCTCTCTCTCAGCCCAACTTACCTCACAGGGTTGCTGTTGTGGAAGAGGAAGGCCTGTTGGTGTCTTCACTGCCTTGAGTTACTTATAAAAATAATGAAGGTGAGATATAAACAAATAAATACAATTTTAAAAACTTTAAATGGCTCTAAAATTTGATTGGCAATGTAAAACCCTAATTTCCCATTAGTTTCGCAAAAGAAAAAAACCTGCTACTTTTAGACACAAATTATCCTGTAATATAAAAATGTCATGTGAAGAAGGGTCCCAATTTTATAGCCATCTTAATAACTTCCAGATGTGACTTGCAGCTTTTTAATGCAGAAAATACAACAGAGCTATAATAAAATATATAATAGCCCATGTCATGATATGAAAAGGAAACTTAATAACTTTCTAATGGGAGCTATAGTACTATTTTTACTTAAGCATTTGCATTCCATTAAAGAAATTAAAATAAACATGTATATCTACTGGTAAATGTGAAAGGCATGAAAATAGCAAGTGAAAGTTTCCATTACCATAACTGCAATTTAGGTAAAAAATAATCTAGGAATTAAATTATACACTCAGTGACATTTAACTGTTTATATTGATTTTCTTCTGGAATAAAAAAGATGAATTTATTGTTATTCCTGTAGATAACTCTACTCCTAACATTAAAATAATTTAAACAACAGTTAAAATTCCAATTATTTCAAATGTCATAGATGCCTTAAAACATATAGGGAATACATCAGTCTTGCTTCTATTATTTGAGTTTTAATGAAATGTAATACTGTATATCATTTTCTTAAGATAGCAATTTGTATTTAATTTCAGCTATTCAAAATATCTTCATTTTCACTAGTTCTGTGAAAAAAGGTGTTCAACCTCTTCTGGATTTTCTGAATTTTTCATATCTTTGCCACTGAATGTTATGAGATCTTTTGTGGATCCTACTGATATATAAAGATAATTTGAATGAACAAATGCATCAGAATTTGGCTTTTGTCTCTTTCATTGCTGAAAGAGGAAAAAGGAAGGATCAAGTCAAATGAAGGAATGAATGAACAAATGGAGTCCTACCAGATTTGTTGCTTTGTTGTATAGTTTTATAAGTTCTGTGAATTAAAAGATGGCAATGCAAGTCTGTTCCTCCCAAGTTATGTAAGCTGAGTGGTGGTCTGCTTTGCTACATCCAGGCAGCCACTTCACAGAGCTGTTTCATCTTACCCTGCTATCCCTGCTAAAAAGAATACTTAGAAGTAATGATATTGCCTTCCAGCTTTTTCAGAAAATTGCTTGGAAAGCAAAAGATACTGAAGACCTCATTGCAGGAATTGACGAGTTTCTGGATGACCTGACTGTCTTACCACCAGGCAAATGGGATCCAACCATTCGAATTTGTCCCCCAAAAAGTTTGCCCTCGCCACAGAAAAGGTATCTTACTGAAAAGAGATACAGATGGAGAAAAATAGGTATCACATTTGACAACTCTAAGGAAACGTAATTAAAATTTAGGGGGGAAAGTATTGTATTATTACATGCTTTATCTGGATATAAATCTATATATTCCCCATAAATATCTGTACTTACGTGTTGCTGAGATGCTCCGTTTCCCAGCTCTGTACCTTTTGCTGAAAAAAGTGCTGTTCCTCCAGCTATCACAATGCCCTCTGCAGCTTCCGTTCCCAGAGAATATTTTTGTGTCACTCATTGATCTGCAACTTAACCAGATGAGAAATCTGTTTTTTCATGCAGCTTAATTATTTCTTAGAAACAAGATCATATAGGAAAGCAGGCGGTTCTGCTGTTTTGCTCTGAAATGGGATACACTGTGATAAGACAGTAGTAAAACTCCCTACAGTACCACTTCAGAATACATATGCATCCCACATTGGCTCTTTCTTGGGATATTGTGTTCTGATGTATTGCTTACATATTGAGTTGCAATGGAAGTAACAGAAATAACTGCTATAAGTTTGGTTGTGAGCAGTGCTTTTTTTCTAAAAAAAAAAAAAAAAAAAGGTGCCGGAACTCACACACGTCATACAACCCGCCTTGCCTACCCTATAAGGTTCCATTCAAAAAAGGTGCCGGAACTCCACTCTGGGCGATCTATGAGAAAAAAAGCCCTGGTTGTGAGAACCGGCATATGATATTTAGCTCAAAATCAATCACCATCGTTACAATATGGCTTGTGTGTACATAAAACGGATGTATTGCATACTATCCATGTTTCATCCTCAGGATCTCCATGCGCATCCGTGACTGGAGTCCTCAGGCTAATGGAAACAAATCTGCCATGGATGAACGACAGGCTCACGGGCACCCGTACTTAAGTGAAGAGCTGGAGAAGACTGGAAGGTGAAACTCACAGAGGCTTGGCTGGGGAAATTAAAGCCTGGCGGTCTCTCTCTTCACTGTACAGCTGCAGGGGAGAATAGTACTGCCCTGAAAACAGTCAAATTGAATTCTCTTCTACCTTTTCCCCAAGGGTACAAGTTTAGAAAGAAATATAATCCAAAATACACATGTACTGCATAGCGGGTTTTTTTTTTTTAAAAAAAAATTAGAAATCTTTTTCTTGCAGGCTCTTTGGAGGGTTATTGAAGGATATTCAACGAAAAGCCCCTTGGTATGGCAGTGACTTCTCTGACGGCCTCAGCCTCCAGTGCCTCTCAGCTATCCTCTATATCTACCTGGCTACAGTCACCAATGCAATCACCTTTGGAGGAATGCTGGGAGATGCTACAGATAACATGCAGGTCTGTGCAAAAAGCTACAATCCTTCTGTAACTGCTATTACTTTTCCTCACCACATCAGTCTGCGTTTCTTTAGTCTTATGTACATTCCTGCCAATGGTAGTAGGCAAACAGTTTCGTATTGCTATGTGATTGTGCAGTTTGGTTGACTCGTATCCATCATTTGAGAGCTGATATTGTGTTCATGTTCAACCAAACAAAGTCATGTGCTTCCTCATATGATTTAGGGTGTCCTGGAGAGCTTCCTGGGTACTGCCTTCGCTGGTGCATTTTTCTGCCTATTTGCTGGGCAGCCTCTCACCATCCTGAGTAGCACTGGGCCTGTCCTTGTCTTTGAGCGCCTTCTGTTCTCCTTCAGCAAGTAAGTAGAGCTTCATATCGGTATGCATGTTGGGAGCAAACCTTCACAAACTGTAGTAATCACTCCTTAGTCATTGAAGGGCACAAAGAAATGGCCACCTCTATGCAGCCTTTAATTGTTTATATAGAGGTTCACAAATAGCAAAAGATACAGCATGGCAACAGCATTTCATTGGCTAAAATCCTTTACCAATCCTCAAGAGTAAAAAGCTAGAGGCCATAAACAGGGAAACTTGTTGTTCACCCAGCAGCCTTATCAAACTGGCAAGGTTACACAAATCTGCGTACTGTTACGTCACCATGGTGATGTGAGGGGGGGGAGAAGATAGATGCAGAACAAAGGCACAAGCGTTGGTAGGGCAGTTTTCTGCTTGCAACTTTCGCCTGTCTCTTATCCCTACAACAAACTCTCTTTCCGTGAGCCTTATCAAGATGATTGGGGACCGTATAAGATCTGCAGTGCCTGTGCCTGTTGAATAGCTAATACTCATGCTTGCTGTTTGGATCTGTCGTTCTGTCTTTCTTCCTCTGACTTGAACACTGCTGCTTGTTGGTAATTTAGAACAAAACACAACTGCAGTATAATAAAGTCAAAATAGATTTAATATCTCACACAACTTTTCAGTGATTTGATATACATCCAGGTCAACTTGCTTTGATAAATCTTACTCAAGTACCTATGTCAAATCAGATTGTTCTGCAAGAGTGTTAGGTGGAACGTTTACAAGGCTGATTTAGCTAATCAGCTCGCAGAAGAAAATCAGCCAAATTTCTCTTTCCAACATGATCATGTAAATTAATTCTGAACTAGTCAAGTGCAAGGAGGATACCGAATATGACAGCAAAGCCTTGCTCATCCTTCAAGTTCATTCTTCCCTTAAATAGAATCTTTCCATTGTGGTAGGCTATAATTCCCATCCTGCCTATCCAGCAAGACCAAGAACGTACTAATTGGGTGTAATGAGAGTTACATTCAAGTACTTTGGAAGGATAAGCTTGTAGGAAAAGGTGCTTTTGTATAAACATTTTCAGTATATCCTGATAGCGTGTTCTGTATATTCAATGTATTCTGATAGTGTAATTAAGAGGTTACTGACTCCTGAGCTCCAGCATTGAAGAAAGGGCCTGTTCTTCCCTAAGGGAGACATTCCACTGCTCTCAATTTATTCCCTGGCACTTCATCTCACCCTCTTTTGGTAACTACTCAGGTAGCTGAGTCAAAGTGAAAGGCAGTAAAAGCCAGCTACTAACGGGAATTCATTATTGATGATCGAATGCCAATCTCTTAACAGGCAAAAGAGAGCCACTCTAAGGGAAATTCTTCAGTTTAACCTGAGATTTGGGGGTAGTCCTGCTAGAAATGGATTAACGGTCTGAGCTCAGGCTTCATTTTAGAAAACTTACCTGCTTAGAAATTATGACTGTTTTGGTTCCTCCCTCCTCTCAGAGACCACAGCTTGGATTATTTAGAGTTCCGCCTCTGGATTGGCTTATGGGTGGCCTTCTTTGGCCTTATCCTGGTGGCTACCGAAGCCAGTTACCTGGTGCAGTACTTCACACGCTTCACTGAGGAAGGCTTCTGTGCCCTCATCAGCTTCATTTTCATCTATGATGCGGTGAAGAAGATGCTGTCCCTGGTGGAACATTACCCCGTCAATTGGGAGTATAAAATCAATGACATCACCTTGTATAGCTGTACCTGCAATCGGACTGAGACAGGTAAGATGAGCAGCCAGGGATGTTGTGATCAGAGGATGGGCTCGCGAGAGTGGTCTTTGGATGGCAAGTCATCAAGAAAGATTTGCCGTTCCTGACAAGTACATAGAAAAGTAACTGTCAACATATTTATAAGTTAGAATATACAGGTAGTCCTCAATTTAGAACAGTTCATTTAATGACCGTTCGAAGTTAAAATGGCACTGAAAATAGTGACTTATGATCCCCCATAGCTCAAAGGAAAACTCTGATTGGCCTAAGCAGCCTAGCTGGATTTGAAATCATCCACACAGAAAAGCAGATACCTGCATAGTTTGATCCACTTCTGTCCAAGTATGTTAGTCTCCTGTATGTTAGATCAGGGGGAGTCAACCTTGGCTCTTTTATGACTCGTGGACTTCAATTCCCAGAATTCCTGAGCCAGCTAATTCTGGGAGTTGAAGTCCACGAGTCATAAAAGAGCCAAGGTTGACTCCCCCTGATTTAGATAGTGCCTAGCTTCGTTAGCAAAGGTTCCTCTGTTTTACATCTGTCGGCCATTTTCTTTCCTTGATGTTCTGGGAAGAGGCTGGAGGATTCAGTCTGTGGATATAGATAGATTGCAGTGCCATCCCCCTCTTCTCTGAGCCAGCCTGTGTTTCTCTGATATTGCTGCTTTTCTGATTAGTCTTGCGTTGTTCTTTTTAAAATCTTTAAATAACAATGTCCACCTAACAGCGGACCATGCTGCAAACCTGTCTTTAGATTCTGGCAAGAAATAATATGTATCTCTGTTATGTTACCAACCTGTTTGTGAATAGATATTTAAGATGCCACAAAACAGACCTCCAAAAATTCTGTCAAGTTCTCGCTTTTCTCATCCTCTCCACTCCTTGCATTGCACAAATCAGAATGAACTGCTGATATCTTGGATGATTGTTTCTTGCAGGCAACTCCTCTGTCCTGAACCAGACCCTGTTCTCTAATTTCAGCAGTTCTGAACAGGTAACAAAATTATTTACTTTACTTTCACCTTTAATACTGTTCATAGGAATGAAAGATTGGGCAAAAGCCATATACATATTGTAAAAGGCCAGGCAACCATGGAAGCAAGGGAATATACAAGACTTGGCTACTACCCTAGAAAAGAATGGAAGGTAAGATATAGGTAGGGCGTAGCATGTGGTAATTAGCATGGGATCAAAATTCTGTATCTCTTGGAGAACTTCAATCTTTCTGCACTTCATAACTGGGATGTGTTGCCCTTTTGGTTTTTGGTTGTATTTTTGTTGGGGGTTTTTTTTTTTTTTTTGCTGCTGCTGCTGCTGCTGAGGACTTCTCCACAGTCACTGCTGCTGATTCTGTATCATTTGAGAAAGTCACAGCCACACAAATATCAAAAAATTATGTACCAGTAACGTTAGAAGCCAAAGTGCACACAAAGTTTTTTTTTAAAACAGTAGGTTGATAAAAGTGAAATTCCAGATGATCAATGAAGGTACTTTTTCATCCTATGCTGAGACCATCGTGCAGAAGGTGAGATAGAGCCTGGAGATGTTTTGTTGTTGTTGTTAATTGCGAAGTCGTGTCCGACCCATCGCGACCCCATGGACAACGTTCCTCCAGGTCTTCCTGTCTTCTACCATCTTCTGGAGCCCATTTAAATGGAGATGTTTAGCTCTCTTTTTTGTAAGCTTTACTTCCTGCACTGAAGAAGCAGAGCGTGCAGTGCATGTAGCTCCTCTGACCTAGAACTCTTTTTGTGCCTTCCACCCAGTTTGCCCAGGAGTGAGAGAGTCTAAAATTTAAACTGCACCGGGCACTAAATTCATCTTGAAGAAAGCCGAAGGGAAGGGAGGACGTGTAGGCTGCTCCCCATTTCCTCCTTGGGCCCATCTTCTGATGGTTATATTAGTCTTATCTACTGGCAGATTCAGAAAATGGTTTCTAGTGGTTTGTATGTGAAACTCATAAGCACACGATAAACCGTAAAAAACAGCCTTAAAAATCGGCCGTGCAGATAGTCCTTGACTGTTTATTTAGTCATTCATTTATTCACTATTCATTTAGAAATCATTCAAAGTTACAACAGCACTGAAAAAAAGCGACTTGCAACTGTTTTTCACACTTATAACTTCGCAGCACTTCTGTGGCCACACGACCAAAACTTGGCAATTGGCATATATTTATGATGGTTGCCGTGTCCTGGGATCATGTGATCACTTTTTGCAATCTTTCAACAAGCAAAATCAATGGGGAAGTTAGATTCACATAACAGCTGCAGTGATTCACTTAACAACGGTGGCAAGAAACATCATAAAGTGGAGCAAACCTCAACAACTGTTTTATTCAGCAGATGGATCCGTAGCTGGCTGACCGGCCGTACTCAGCGTGTGGTCCTCAATGGAACCGCATCTACATGGAGAGAAGTGTGTATTGGGGTGCCCCAGGGCTCTGTTCTGGGCCCAGTGCTCTTCAACATCTTCATCAATGATTTGGATGAGGGGATAGATGGGGAACTCATCAATTTTGCAGACGACACCAAGCTGGCAGGAATAGCCAACACTACAGAAGACAGGCTTAGGATACAGGAGGATCTGACAGACTTGAACACTGGGCACTATATAACAAAATGAAATTCAGTGGTGAAAAAAGTAAGGTTCTACATTTAGGCAAGAAAAACCAAATGCACAAGTATGGTACAGGGGGTATCTTGCTCAATAGTGGTAACTGTGAGAGGGACCTCGGAGTCCTAGTGGACAATCACTTAAATATGAGCCAGCAGTGTGCTGCAGCTGCCAAAAAAGCCAACACAGTGCTGGGCTGCATTAACAGAGGGATAGAATCAAGATCCCGTGAAGTGTTAATACCACTTTACAATGCCTTGGTAAGGCCACACTTGGAATACTGCATCCAGTTTTGGTCACCATGATGTAAAAAAGATGTTGAGACTCTAGAAAGAGTACAGAGAAGAGCAACAAAGATGATCAGAGACTGGAGGCTAAAGGATATAAGGAATGGCTGCTGGAATTGGGTATGTCTAGTTTAATGAAGAGAAGGATGAGGGGGGACATGATAGCAGTGTTCCAATATCTCAGGGGCTGCCACAAAGAAGAGGGAGTCAAGCTATTTTCCAAGGCACCTGAAGGCAGGACAAGAAGCAATGGATGGAAACTAATCAAGGAGAGAAGCAACCTAGAACTAAGGAGAAACTTCCTGACAGTTAGAACAATTAACCAGTGGAATAACCTGCCTCCAGAAGTGCTGAATGCTCCAACACTGGAAGTTTTTAAGAAGAGACTGGACAGACCTCCAAGATCCCTTCCAACTTTATTATTATTATAATATTGTATATTTTGTAGGTTAGACAGGTATGCACTTTGTTTGTTTGTCTGCTTGCTCAAAAAAAAATAATCCAAACATGGGGAACATTTTTTAAAAATGAGGTTAGATTAAAAACAGAAAAAGCAATAATCCAATACAAAACTCAAATATCTTAAAAATGTAAATCGATTGTGACATAACTACAAAATACAAACCACATACCCACAGCAAATGGGGATTGCAGCATATTAACCTGTGCATGACCACTTTAGCTAATAATATAATTTTCTCTCTTATTCACCCACAACTTGACCCAGTCTGGAGTCTTGTAGACTGGTTGGATTACAGTTCCCTGAGTTCCCAGCTTATTTAGGCCGCTGGAAAAACAGTCTAAATGTTTTCTTAAGAGTGATGACGTATACTCAATACCTTGACAAACAGGGATGTTCCTCTGAGGCACAATCCTTTTTTTTCCCTTCACAGCAATCAGATGTGGAATCTGGGAACTGGTCCCTCCTGACCAAGGATCAGTGTATACAACTAGGGGGCCATCTAGTGGGCAACAGTTGCAACTACGTGCCTGACATCACTTTCATGTCTTTCATTCTTTTTCTGGGAACATTGTCCTGTGCTATGGCCCTGAAAAAATTTAAATCAAGTCGCTATTTTCCCACTGGTGTAAGTACCTATCTAACCTATCCTATCCATTACATGCGGATTGAATCTATGAAATAAATATTTCCTTCCTGTGGGTAAGCTTATGTACCTACTCTGTCTTCCTGTAATGGCTACCCCAACATGTTCCAATATTACCCAAATTATCCTACAATATGATGGGAGCTAAAGCTGAACATATTGGAAAATACCAGGATAGCGACGGCCTACCTGCATACTAAAAAAGTAGAAACCTGCAGGAAATGGGGACGAGATAGAGAATGGACAGAGAGGAAACAATCATGGGCAAGCCTCCTTATTCCTCATTCACATTCACTCTTTTCTTTATTTCTCAAGGCCCCCTTCCCATCTCATCAGTTTTCATCTCTACTTTAATTTTCCGTTCTTATCTATCTTGGTTTTCCCTTTGGGTAGAAAGAGAGTAGAGAATGGTAGAGAAAAACGTTTTATGTTCTGTACTAACCTACGAATTGAAAAGTTTATGTGATGAATACCTGCTGATTGCCGAGAAGTGTATTCTACCATAAGAGCTGTTTGATTGACTATTGTGGGTGATTGTGATTGCCTCCTACTGGGCAAGCAGGAGTTTCTTCAGGAACTATAGGAGATACATAAGGGAGCAAGCTCGCTAAACGGGCAGATGGTGAACTAGCAGGTATTTGGGAGTACAGATTGGATCCTAGTTAATGTTATTGTTATTTCCAGGAGCATATAGATTTAAAATGGATTCAGAGCTCTGTTTTTGAACTTTCATACAAATAAGAATCTCAGAATCAAAACCAACTTTATCATCATCTTCTTCTGTCATGCATCTATTCAATCATTGAAGAGCACATAGGAGAAACAAAATACCAGGTTTCCCTGGAAATAAGACCAGGTCTTATATTAATTTTTGCTCCAAAAGACGCATTAGGACTTATTTTCTGGTTAGGGGCTTATATTTGGGGAAATACGGTACTAAATGTGTCCATCTGGCTGATGATCTTAAACTGAAGCTTATTTCTGGGGTGGGGCTTATATTACGAGTGTCTTGAAAAACCATGCTAGGGCTTATTTTCCGGTTGGGTCTTATTTTCAGGGAAATACATTAGTAGTAATCACAATGGCTAAGCATTCAGACGTCAGGTGTGACATGCACGCCATCACCTTAGATTGCAGTTTCCTATATATTTAATCAGGAAAAAAATTATCTTCAGTAAGACTTAATTCCAGGATTGTTGTTTTAGCTCCATAAAGCCTTCACAAACGTCTTCGGAAGCCATTCAGTCTTTGCCAGATGCAGTATATATTCATATCATGATTTGTAGAAAGGAAGAAATATGTCTCACATTGGGGCTTTTTAGTATAAAATATTTTAATCCTGCATCATTTCTGAAAGTCTAGTAGTTACTTGAGATGGACTCTAAATGGTCATATTTGTTTTGTGAATCTTATGCCTTTTTTCATTTTTGAAATGAAAATGTTCAAATTTGCAAATGACACCAAGTTGCTGCAAATAGCCGATATCTTAGAAGATAGGCTCAGGATCCAGAAGGATCTTGACAGACTTCAACACTGGACCCTATCCAACAAAATGCACTTCAGTGGTGAGAAAAGTAAGGCAAGAAAAACCAAATGTACAGATATAGAATAGGTAGTACCTGGCTCAATAGCAGTAACTCTGGCAGGGATCTAGATGTTCTAGTAGATAATTGCTGAAGTATGACCCACCAGCACGCTGCAGCTGCCAGAAAAACAACAACAATGCAGTCCTAGACTTCATCAACAGAGAGATAGTATCAAGATCACATGAAGAACCCGTATTGCTTTATACTGCACTGGTAAGGCCACACTTGGAATACTGTGTCCAGTTTTGGTCACTATGATACAAAAAAGAAGTGGAGACTTTAGAAAGAGTGCAGAGAAGAGCAACAAAGATGATAAAGGGGTCTGGAGGCTAGAGCACACAATAAAGTATTATGGGAACTAGGTGTGTCTAGTCCAGGGGTAGGCAACCTTGGCTCTTTTATGACTCATGGACTTCAACTCCCAGAATTCCTGAGCCAGCATGGTTGTCTCTGGAATTCTGGGAGTTGAAGTCCATGAGTCATAAAAGAGCCAAGGTTGCCTACCCCTGGTCTAGTCTAACAAAAAAAAAGGATTAAGGTTGACTTGATAGCAGTCTACCAATATCTCGGGCTGTCCCAGAGAAGAGGGAGTTAACCTATTTTCCAAAGCACCTGGGGCAGGTTAAGAAATAACAGATGGAAACTTATCAAGGAGAGATCCAACCTAGAATTAAGGAGAAACTTCCTGTCAGTGAGAATGATTAATCAGTGGAATGACTTGCCTCCCAAAGTGGTGGGTGCTCCATCACTGGAGCTTTTTAAAGAGATTGGACAGCCATTTATTTAGATTGGTATAGGCAGGAAATTGAACTAGATGATATCCAACTCTGTTATTCTATTCTGTTATTTCACTTCTTAGGTAAGGAAACTAGTGGGTGACTTCTCCATTATTCTGGCTATCCTCATCTTCTGTGGAATTGATGCTGCTCTTGAATTAGAGACACCAAAGCTTATTGTGCCAAACACATTCCAGGTAAGATTAGTCAATACAAGACAGAAGAGCTCTTAGCCCAACCTTAGAATTGCTTCCTTCAAGCTAATCTCAACTCCTGATGGCCTCATAGTCACTTCCAGTTATTGCAGCTTTCTAGGCAACATTCTCAATTCCTGGCAAATAGATGGGGAAGAAATGGAGGTAGTGACAGATTTTATTTTTCTGGGCTCCAAGATCACCTCAGATGGGGACTGCAGCCAAGAAATTAAAAGACGCTTGCTCCTGGGGAGGAAAGTTATGGCAAATCTAGACAGCATACTAAAAAGCAGAGACATCACTCTGTCAACAAAAGTGCGTATAGTCCAGGCCATGGTTTTTCCAGTTGCAATGTATGGCTGTGAAAGTTGGACCATAAGAAAGGCTGAGCGCCAAAGAATTGAGGCTTTGAACTATGGTGCTGGAGAAGACGCCTGCGAGTCCCTTGGACTGCAAGGCGTTCAAACCGGTCAGTCCTAGAAGAGATCAACCCTGACTGCTCTTTAGAAGGCCAGATCCTGAAGTTGAAACTCAAATACTTTGGCCACCTAATGAGAAGGAAGGACTCACTGGAAAAGGCCCTAATGCTGGGAAAGATTGAGGGCAATAGAAGAAGGGGACGACAGAGAATGAGGTGGCTGGATGGAGTCATTGAAGCAGTAAGTATGAACTTAAATGGACTCCAGAAGATGGTAGAGGACAGGAAGACCTGGAGGAACGTTGTCCATGGGGTCGCGATGGGTCGGACACGACTTCGCAATTAACAACAACAACAAGGCAACATTACAGAAATGGTTTATATTGCCTACTTTTGTCAGGCATTTATTGATGTTCCAATTTAACCTACAGCTCAGGGATTTTCTGTGATCTTCCAGGTACATGTTTCTATGGAATGTTAGAAATGTAAGCAGATAGTATTCTGCAGTGATTATATAAAATGTAAACAATCTGCCTGAATGTTCCATACTTGTTCAGTTGTCCATACAGACCAGTTGGCAATGCAGCTGTTTCTTGTGTAATCCCAACAAAACAACTCTGTATGAACATTTTATTGGACCCTGGTAGAGAAAAGCACTTCAATTTAAGTAAGTGTAAAGTAACCCACCCTTATTAACAAATCCATTACTAGAGTCTAAAATAACTAACCATGGAAGAGAAGCTCAGAGAAGATATTGACTGCTCTTCACTGCCTATATAGCAGCTGTGGAAAGGTTAATTTCTCAGTGCTTAGCCATAGGTCAAAATGATTTATAAAGAAAGTAAAAAGTACTTGTCTCAATACTAAACCTTGAAGTTCTCCAGTATTTACTTCCCTCATTGAGAAACTGTTCAATTTTTTGCTTTTTGATATTTTAAACAGCTTTCTATAAAAAGACAGGTCCTCTTATTCCAGTTTACTCAAGAGCCTTTGAGGAAGAACTATGTCAAAAACTTTTTGAAAATCCAAGTGTACTTGTTTTGTCAGGGCCATCTTTGTTTACATTTCAGTTAATGCTCTCAAAAAATTTGGTGAGGCAGGATCTACCTTTGTAGAATACATGCTGATTTTCATTCAACAAGAATATTCCCTTTATGTGCCTTTTTATTTTTTATTATACCTATTTACCTGGAACAGACAGTAAACTGATTGGTCTCCAATTTCCTATATCTCCCCTGGGCCCCCTTTTAAAATTGATGGCACATTAACTACATTCCTCAACTGAGCCTGCTTTGAGTGCCAACTTATTTCTTGCTAAGTCAGCAATTTCACATTTGTATTCTTTAGGAATCCTAGAGTGGATGCTATTAGAACCAGGTGATTTTTTTTAAGAGTGCAGTTTCTCAAGATATTCTAGAGCAGTGTTTCTCAACCTTGACAATTTTAAGGTATGTGGACTTCAACTCCCAGAATTCCACAGCCAGCATTTCTGGCTGTGGAATTCTGGGAGTTGAAGTCCACATGCCTTAAAATTGTCAAGGTTGAGAAACGCTGTTCTAGAGCAGCGTTTTTCAAACTGTGTTGTATGGAATCCTAGGGTTCTTTGAGAACTTGATGAGGTTCATGACAAATTGATTTGTGGGGAAAATGTTAACTTGAACGCAGCCATTTTCTATCACTTAGGGCAGGGGTGCGAGACAATATTCCAGGGAGTGCGAAAACTTGGGTTTTCAAAATTATAGTGTGCATAATTGCATAATTCATTGCTGTTATTTCGAACTTTTGTAAGGGGTGCGAGAATATATCAGAAGTGTTCTAGGGGTGCTGGGGATAGAAAAGGTTGGGAACCACTGACTTAGGGCTTTGCCTCTTAATTGGGGGTTCCAGAATTATTATTTTTTTAACTAACAGGCTTTATAGCTTGATGATGTTTGAAAACCTCTGTCCTAATATACCCCCCTTTGGCATCCCACTTTGCATTAGTTATTCCCAATTTCCTTATATGAGAAACTCAATTCAGGCTTAGGTATCTTCTGCAGCAAAGATAGGGTTTTTTTAATTCGCTTTTTTATTTATATCCCACCTTTATTATTTTTGTAAACAAGGTGGTGAACATATCTAATAGTCCTTCCTTCTACTATTTTTCCCACAACAATCCTGTGAGGTGAATTGGGCTGAGAGTGTGTGACTGGCCCAAAGTCACCCAGCCAGTTTTCCTGGCTAAGGCTGGATTAGAATTCACAATCTCCTGGTATCTAGTCTGGTTCCTTAACCACTACTAGACCAAACTGGCTCAACCAGATGCAAACAATGGATACTTTGCGGGGAGGGGGGGGTGTCACTTCTTCATGGATAATTTATAATTGAAGGATAACTTATAATTTACGGGGTGGAATTTGGGATCCATTTTCTCTGTTCTCCATTTGTTCCTTTTAGTTTTCCCAATATTCCTAATCCTGTCCCAGGGTTTTGTTGCTGAATATTAGCTCTCTAATCTTGGAGTGTCACTGTCACACACAGTATATTATGGTTATTAGTTAGGGAAAACGTATGAGGATAGTGCTTATTTTATTCTTTAATTAGGAGTTAAATTGATGCTATCTAATTTCTCTTTCAAATACACTGAGAGAAATAATACATTGGGGTTTTTTTTAAACATCCCAAAAGGCATCCTTGCAAGTAGTAATACCAACAGTAGGCAACCTTTGCTGCAATATGACACTCCAAAATAATGCAAGGCACCAGAGTAGTTAATGGAATAATGGGAACGAAGGCAGGTGGCCCAAACTTATTGGTAGACAATGTCTTTGGATAAGTAACCATTCAGCACAGTGGAAAAGCCAGCTTCAGCATTTACTCCATGCTTGCTCCATGTTATTTCGCCTTTAACAGGCAGATGATTCTGTTCTAGGACAGGAGTAGCCAGCACCCCAAAAGACAAACTCAGGATCCAAAAAGATCTTGACAAATTTGAACAATGGGCCCTAAGTTTCAATGTGGAGAAAAGCGAAGTCTTACATTTAGGCAGGAAAAATCAAAGGTACAAGTACAGATTAGGCGAGACCTGGCTTGGAGGCAATAACTGTGAGAGGGACCTTGGAGTCCTAGTGGATGATCACTTGACTATGAGCCAGCAGTGTGCAGCAGTAGCCAAAAAAGCTAATACAATCCTGGGTTGTATAAACAGAGGCATAGAATCAAGATCACACAAAGTACTAGTACCGCTTTACAAAGCCCTAGTAAGACCACACCTGGAATATTGTTGCCAGTTCTGGTCACCACATCACAAAAAAGATGTTGAGAGTTTGGAAAAAATTCAGAGAAGAGCAAGATGATCAAAGGCCTGGAGACTAAAACATATGGGGAATGGCTACGGGACGTGGGTTTGGCTAGTCTAAAGAAAAGAAGAAATAGGCGAGACATGATGGCAGTGTTCCAGTATCTGAGGGGCTGCCACTGGGCAGAGGGGGCAGATTGTTCACCAAAGCACCAGATGGAAGGACAGGAAACAATGGTTGGAAACTGACCAAAGAGAGAAGCAACCTGGAACTAAGGAGAAACTTCCTGACAGGGAGGACAATCAAGCAGTGGAACAGCTTACCCCTAGAAATCGTGGGCACTCCATCACTGAAGATTTTTAAGAGGAGACTGGACATTCACCTGTCTGAAATGGCGTAGGTTCTCCTGCTGGAGCAGGGGGCTGGACTAGAAGACCTCCAAGGTCCCTTCCAGCTCTATTCTATTCTATTCTTTACATGCACACAATATACCTACAAAAATGAAAGAATGTGAGGGGAGGGGAAGAGAGAGAGAAAGGGACCAAGACCTTTTCCTTTACTGCTCATGTGGATAAAAGAGAGTTGGGAGATTTCAAGAGCTCCTTATGGGAGAATTTCAACCTTTCAGCACCATGTTTTATCTTTCATATCATTCACAAATCATGGAATCTGTGCTGATTGTTACTACAAGTGTTAAGTTTCAAACTTTGTTCTTGGCCATGTATCTTTCCTTCCTATTTTGATATATCAGTTCCTTAAGGGGGAAAAAAACACTATTTATTGGGTTAGGGCAGTGTTTCTCAACCTTGACAATTTTAAGGCATGTGGACTTCAACTCCCAGAATTCCACAGCCAGCAATGCTGGCTGTGGAATTCTGGGAGTTGAAGTCCACATGCCTTAAAATTGTCAAGGTTGAGAAACACTGGGTTAGGGTTAGGCTTCTAAGACTTTTCAATCATAGTTGACTTTAAATTACTGTTTTGGTGGCCAAGATGATCTATCACGTCATGATTGGTATTAATGAGGCATCTGCTGCTTTTAACATTTTGGACCACCAAATAGTCCTGTAACTTTAATTCCTTTAGTATTGTTTTTGCAGTGTTCTCAACCTTATCTATTTACCTGATGTTTTCTTTCTTTGGATTTAAAAATACCACTTTCTTATTTTGAATTAGATTTTGACTCTAATGTTAATGCCTTATTTCCCCGATTTATGATCTTTCTCTGGAACCCCTTTAAACAGGGCAATCCAGTACCCATTAACTGTGAAAGGATTTCTAGATACAAGGATTAGTAATTACTTAATAGTTGCACTTGTTAACTCATTGTATCTAGAAATCCTTTCACAGTTAATGAGTACTGGATTGCCCTGTTTAAAGGGGTTCCAGAGAAAGATCATAAATCGGGGAAATAAGGCATTAACATTAGAGTCAAAATGAAGGTCTATACCTCAGTTTTCTTACACTTAAGGAAAACTGAGGTATAGACCTTCATTTCCAAGGCACCCCATTGGTTCCCCTTCGCAATCTGGTATTTAACATGATAGTGATGCTGTTCATGTGGACTGGAGGATTACGGTATATATGAAAGTAAATGTCTTGAGACCAGAGTTACCTGAACAATTTAGTCCTCAAGTATGTTTCTTAGATGAAGCCATGTCATAGTCTGAAAGAAGGTATCTATGGTAAAAATGTCACAAGTCAATAATTGGGCTACCATATCTGGTCTGCAAAATCCAGAAAGCCACTAGTTTCATAAAATTCTCTGCTGCTATCTAGAGATCATCTTAATTTTAGCAACCCAATATGGTAGCCCTACGTATAATTAAATTTTGTGCTAAGCCTTATAAGCTACTGACATCAGCTAAAAAATTATTTGTTAACCCAACCTTAATTCTGCTTGAATTTATGCTGCTGTGACTCTTGTTGCTCTTGCTTGCTTTTAACTTTACAGTTTAATATGTGCAATTACCTGATTTTTAATCTTTTTAAATATCAAACTTTCTTCGGCAATATAATAATACAAATGCATATAATACATTTTAAAAGTAACTCTTCTTTTTCCTCTTAAAATTAAGAGCGAGATTTCCTAATTCTGATAAGAATGTTTAAACCATTGAGTTCTTGAACCAAAATGATTGATACATCATTGTATTTTGTATGTAAAGTATATACTTTATATTTTATAAACAAGGTACACTCACACACACACTTATTAGATATACATATTATTATATACAAAGTATGCTTATTTAATTTAAGAGTATATAAAGTTATTTATTGGTAACATAAAATGCATTTATAAAACAATTCCATTTTTGAAAAATCAGATAACTATAATAATTATCCATAAAATAGAAACAATCTCTCACCATTTAATCAGCTGGAACTATTGTTCAGCCATGATAATTTCTTTCTTGATTAGACAAGAATTAGGGTGCAGATATTATTTGCCAAATATTTTAGGAGGCAATGCTTACATGTCTTCTACCTACTCTTAACTCATCCTGTGTCTTGCTAACCTTTTCCAATTATTCACTCTGCAGCCTACAAATCCCAAGCGAGATTGGCTTGTGTTTCCATTTGGAGCAAATCCCTGGTGGATATACTTAGTGTCTTCAGTACCTGCCATTCTAGTTATCATCCTCATCTTCATGGATCAACAGATAACAGCTGTCATTCTCAATCGCAAGGAATATAAACTGCAGGTCAGTAGTTGGCTGGGCTGTGAATGCAGTAAGGCTTTATCTTATTGGAAAATATCTCTTAAATATACAGATATTAAACCATAAATTGAAGAACACCAGAACAATTGTTGAGACTAAACTTGTGTTTCAAAGACAATTATGTAATAGAAACAGGATTTTAAAGCAAAGTAAGCTTATATGGCATATTTTCATATAATCTGGACCCAAGCTTTAAAGGGTTTTATAGGGCATAAACAACATTTTGAAGTTTACCCAGAAAAAGATGGGAAGTTATTGGAAATGGTTTAAAAGGGGGGCACATACTTCATTCAGCCTTATTTATTTAAAAAAGAAGGAATAAACTTAGCATATTGCAGGTTGTTCATTTTGCTCCCTTTAGGTTATCTTTCACCAGTTTCTGGTGTGAAGAAACCCCTGCTCCCTTATTTGTAAAAACAAATATTAGAAGAAAGGAAGAAGGTAAAGCATTAGTTACCAAAGCTGGAAACAGAAATAAATATTTCTCCAAATTTAATAGACAATATATAGAATTTCTTAGTACCATATGCAACATGCAATCTAAGATTTTCTTTTTTATATTCCTAAGGAAATGGTGTTGATGTACAAAATCTTACATAGAGTTCTCTAACCCAGGTAGTGAAATTCTAGAAGCATAATCAATTATGCAAGTCACACAACTTATGAAAATGTTATCTGTTCCAATCCATTAAAGGGTTCATAGTCTAAAATAGAAAACTTTTATCATGCATAATCCATCCCACCTCTCCTAGCGCTATCTCCAATGTTCTCTTGCAGAAAGGGGCAGGATTTCATCTAGATTTCCTCTGTGTTTCCCTACTGATGATTGTTACATCGTTTATGGGCTTGCCCTGGTACGTGTCCGCCACAGTCATATCTCTGGCGCATATGGACAGCCTCAAGAAAGAAAGCACTACTAGTGCTCCAGGAGAACAGCCAAAGTTCCTTGGAATCAGGTATTAGAAGTAGACCGCACTTTTAAGGATTTAAAATGGAGGTGTTATTATCTGTCACTGATTCTCTTTCATCTACACTAGCCTTCTCCAACATGGAAATATATACAACATTCACAATCAATACTCCTGCAGGCTATGCTCACTTTGGGATTTGCAGTTTTAATACAACACATTTGGATTACACCAAATTAGGGAAGACCATATTAAATAATACGAAATAATTGATTGGTGTCCACCCTGTTTTGCTGGATAACATAATGAAGGCTTTGTGTGGGATTGGTAGATGCTGACTTAGGAAGAATTGGGGTTGATTTATGACTTATGAAGATTGATAAATGATTGAAATATGAACGTCTAACTTAGAAATGCTCTTCTTACAGGGAGCAGAGAGTAACAGGATTGGTGGTCTTTATTCTCACAGGATTGTCTGTGTTCCTTGCTCCTGTGCTCAAGGTGACTTTAGTTTTTAAAGTATTCATACAAGTGTTTAATACATAGGTCTGTTATTTCATTTTCCACTGTTTATGCAAAGTTTTGATTTTGCTGTCTAAAATAATTTGGTAGCAAGCTGAATTCAGCTGTCTGAATTTCAGCCTAATGTATTGCTGGAAAGTATTGGAACAGAAAGGGACTGGCTATGGGATTTGTTCTCATTTTTGTGAACTAGAGTGAAAAATACAGACCTCATAGATGTGTGATTGTGACTGTTTGATTTGTCAAGGCAATAATTTAATAGCTAAACAGCTTATGTAATGATGTAATGTAACATAAGGTGGATGATGCAATGATAGGAACGACTTAGCAGGAGTCTGTATCCCTTTAAGAGCCTGAGTATAAAAGGGAAGGCTTTTGCTGGAGTATCTCTCCCTCTCGTCCGTTTCCTGCTGTAATTGCTGTATGTTGGAGTTTGCTGTATTACCACATGTTTCTAGTGTATATTGTAGTGTATATTGTAGATAATGTAATATAAAACACCATTTAATATAGACCACTGTTTACTGTGTTTACTCCTGGGTTACCTCAGCTCATTAAGACTGTGCATGCTCTGACATGATTTCTCTTTGAAGGAATGATTCCACTATATGCTGCATTGAACAGAACCCTGTTCAAGCACTGTGCTTTTGGGTGCCACAGTTTAAGAAACTCAGACAAACTGCAACAGCTACAGAGAAGGGCATCATAAATCAGCAGGACCCTGGAAACAAAATATTACAAATATTAACAGAAAATACTACACAGAATATACACTGGGGGAAGGGGGGTTGGAAATCATGTAAAACCCCTTACATAATCTGTGACATAATGTAACCTTTGTATCCCTCTCTACTTGGAAAGGTTAAGGGAAGGTAGACTGAATAGACGGTTTTGATAGCCCAATTCTTACAGAGAAAGTTGATCACAGGGAATGGAAAAATACCTGAAGAGATGTCACATAAAAGAAGGCAGAAATGTTGTGTATTATCCCAGAGCAAAGGACTTGAATCAACTCATTGTACAGCAAACATTGACAGTAATGTTTTACTGACCTTAAAGACAGTCTTTTGTGACTTATACTTTAAATGTGATTAATTTTCTTTCTTTCATATCCCAAGTTTATCCCAATGCCTGTGCTGTATGGCATTTTCTTTTATATGGGCATATCTGCACTTAGCAGTATTCAGGTGAGTGCAAAAAAGTTGTAGAAATACATTCTGCAGGGTTGGGGATGGTGGTAGTGTGACTTTTGATGAAGTTTAATTCAATCAGCAGAGTATCTAATATTTTCTAAAACATATAGTCTGAATAATGTGGGAAGGCTCTGTCTATAATTAAGGTCTCCTGGATGTTTGTGTAATCCTTTTCAAGAAGTTGTGGGAGTTTTGTTTACTTGTTTGTTTTGTGCCTTTGAATCAGTCTTGACTCCTGGGCACTGTCTGGATTAGTCCCTATAGTTTTTTGGGCAAGATTTTCAACAGTAGTTTGCCACTGCCTTTTTTCTACAGCTGAGAGAGAGTGACTAACTAACCCAAGGTCACACAGATGGCTTCATGCCCAAGGCCGGATTAGAATCACAGTCTCTGGTTTCTAGCCTGCTGACTTAACCACTACAAAGAAGTCCGCAGTGCTAATAAAGCAGAAAATAAATGCATGCAAGAGGTGGTTTTAAAAGTAAAGCTGGACCACAGAGCATTCTTAATGTGTAAGGAGAGAGGCTAGATCAGCCCTGGATTCACTTACTATTCCAGATTTGTAATTTCAGTTGTAAAATGGGGAGCAAGTCATGCTTAGCCAAGCAACCCTGAAATGTATTGGAAATTCTCTTTTTACATCTTAGAGCTAATCTAATTCACCCAATTCCAGGCAAAGATGGAATATTCATTTATTTTCCTATGCCTCTGCAATCATGCCTGACTCTGAGTGGCTTACAGATCTGAGTGGCTTACAGGGTAATAACATTAAACCATAACAATGCATAATAAGTAATAAGCAATGTGTAATAAGTAAAATCCCATATACCAGTGTTTCCCAAACTTGACAATTTTAAGGCATGTGGACTTCAACTCCCAGAATTCCACAGCCAGCAATGCTGGCTGTGGAATTCTGGGAGTTGAAGTCCACATGCCTTAAAATTGTCAAGTTTGGGAAACACTGCCATATACTGATGAAGCGTTCACATGAAAAGAAACTCAAAAGACTCCTTCACCTTCCAGGAGCCTCCTGAAATGACTTTGGCAGGGCCAATGTGATATCAGAGATAGAAGTGGGCAGCCCGATTTCTGCTTGGGAGTTTCCACTATATTTCTTGCTTTCATTTTTTCCAGTTCATGGAGAGACTTCAACTCTTGTTGATGCCTGCTAAACACCAGCCAGACTTCATTTATCTACGCCACGTTCCACTATGCCAAGTGCATCTTTACACCTTCATTCAGATCTTCTGCCTTGCTGTCCTGTGGCTCATTAAGTCAACTGCAGCTGCCATCATTTTCCCTTTAATGGTAAGAGTCCTTAGACATGGATTTCTTGTAGTACAGCCATATATCATGCAGAGAATGAGTGAATCTACCAAAGATCTTTTCCTGTGTACAGAAAAGCCATTTATTATCCATAGCATTCTACCTCCTATTACACATCTATACAATCCTTAATTTATTCAACTTGGGAGAAAAACTCATTCCACCTAGCTGCACCCATTTATTAGTTATTTTCTGAATATTTATCAGACATACTGGGTTTTTTATATTCATTTACATTTTATATCAATATTTTGAAATAAACATTCCATTATTTTAAAATATCTGGTTGCTTTTAATGGTTCTATCAAATTTTATTTCAAACCTGAATTTTAATCTTAATGTAATTATTAATGTTTTAAAATGCTGTAATTATTTGTTTGATTGTTCATAAATCCCAAAGATGCTTTTTCATGAGGCAACTGGACTTTCTTGTTTTTTCTTTGAAGACGTTTCTCTTCTCATCCAAGAAGCTTCTTCAGCTCTGACTGGATGGTGGGGAATGGAAGGATTTATACTCCTTGCAAACAGCTGGTCATTTGCATTCTTTTAGAGAGACATTGAGGCCACCTGGAGGTTTATCTGGGTTCTCAGGGTCACTTGAGTAGTGAAAATGGGTGTGGAGCCTTCTTGGAACTGCTGAAAAGACTGTGTTGTAGACTGGAGATAGATAGTGTCATATCCCTCCCCCTCTGTTGAGAGAAGGCTGTTCAATTTTGACATAGATGGCCTCTTCGACCCCTCTTTCAAACCAGCGGTCATCTCTGTCCAGAATGTGGACTTTGCTGTCTTTGAAAGTGTGACCTTTGTCTTTGAAATGCAGATGGACTGCTGAATCTTGTCCTGATGGGTTTGTTCTCCTATGTTGTGCCATGTGTTTATGAAGTAGTTGTTTTGTTTCCCCAATGTACAGATCTGCACATGGATCGCTGCATTGTATTGCATATACCATGTTGCTCAATTTGTATCTGTGTGCTGAAAAAGCTTCTTGGATGAGAAGCGAAATGTCTTCAAAGAAAAAAACAAGAAAGTCCAGTTGCCTTGTGAAAAAGTACCTTTGGGATAACTATGACCAGGATGACTGAGAATCTAGGTAGATAGATAGATAGATAGATAGATAGATAGATAGATAGATAGATAGATAGATAGATAGATAGATATAAAACGTTTATATACTGCCTACTTCAAAGGATGCAAAGCAGTTTACTGTATAATAAAAGAAGAAAATACAAATGTATAACCAACAACCTCCAACAAATACAAATAATAATCAGAATAAACCCCATTCCTAAGACAGCCTTTCTATGTCTTGTTACCCTATGGAACAAAATAATCCTAAATAGTTTTCTAAAAGTATTTTAGAAATATTTTTACTCTGAAGGGCATCGTGTAACTCAGGAAGCAAGGTGTTCTCAAGAAGGGCTAGATCAAGACATGGTGAAGTAAAGGTAAAAGTAAAGGAGTCCCTGCAGATTTTATTCCACTAGTCATTGCCAACTATGGTGCTCATCTCTATTTCAAAGTCACTGAACCAGTGCTGTCTGAAGACATTTCTGTGGTCATGTGGCCAGCATGACATCACGGAGCATTGTTATCTTCCCACCATAGTGGTACCTATTTATTTGCATTTGCATGCTTTTGAACTACATCTTCTGCAAGAAAGAACCCAACTCTTTCCCTCAAGAAAGGATTAGCTATGGCCCTTGCCTCGATACCCATATGACCAAAACAGGTTATCATTTTGCTCACAGATGGCAGAGTTCATGCCATTAAGAGACTGACTGCATTCTTGGCCTTCACAAATTAAAAACAAACAAACAAACACTAGATAGTCTAGTAAGAGATTGCCTGGCCCGCATCCAAGTAGTACCCAACTCCGAGTGAAACTGAATAATTGTATCTGTGAAACGGGTCACAAATGTCACAGCAAACTGCAAGAGGATTGACACCTCTCTTTTTTTCTAAAGGAACAGGTAATCTTAAGCAGAGTCATTGGATGTGAATCTACATATTCACTAAACATGAAGAATGCTAAGCATGGTTTAAATGTGGGTATGGAACTGCATTTGGTCAAAGTGACTTCATTTTATACTATTCTAGGTTCCCTTTATTCATTTTATCTTCTACAGCTCCTTGGTTAGAGGCAACCTCATGTTAAGGCATGTAGTAAAACTGCTCATAAGATTGCTAGGAAATCCCCCAAATTGTCTCAGAAATCCAACCCCTACAGATATCAAATATGCTAACAATGTGCATAAAACTAAAAAGCAATCTGATCATGGCAGAAGACTGATAGTAATATTCATCTTGAATCCATATTGAGGCAAAAGCCAAGCCTATTAGAATGATCTCAGATATGGCAACATCCCTGGCCTCCCTCAATCAGCTTTCTGTGATGCAAACCACAGAATATATATCCACCCATCCAGTGATGCGATTCAAATATGTGAACAACTGGTTTTCTCTGTGGATGCTGCTTCCAGAAGTCCATTTTGGGCCTGGGCAACAAAAAATTAGCTACCGGTTCTGCTGAAGTGGTGTGAACTGGCTGAATCCCACCACTACACCCACCATGTCACCCCACATAATCCTATTGTGCATGCAGTTACATTCTCCAAAAGCATTCTGAGCCAATAACACCTAGCCATCCTATTATTTGGTTAAAGGGGAGCAGAAGTACTAGAAGTGGGGACCTGCAACAACTTGCCCAATGTGTCCATCATGCCACCTGTGACTCATCCCCATAGAAATATATTCTTCTATCACATCAGCTTCCTAGGGCTTGCCCCAAAACTCAGCACAGGGACAACTACTGTTATTATTTATCATCATCTGATACGCTATGCTATTAATTCCCATAGATTCTAACTGCAGGATGCAAAAAAAAAATCACATCATTCTGTTCAACTTCCTATAACAGGATAAAGTTAAGCTAAACTTCTACATCTTAAAACACTTTCTGCCTAGGCATTTTTATGGCTCTTCAAAATCCAGATCAGACACTGAGTATTGGAGGGGTGGGGAACTGTTCCATAGAAGTGGGCCATCATCAGATATATTACTTCCCACTCCGATCCAGAATTTATGGTACTCTGTCACACTCTCACTCCAGGGAAGAGGGATTTCATTGCATACATCTCATTCAAGTTGTTCAGTTGTGGGCTGGGAATGGGCTGAAGTCCAAGTCGCGAGGACATGTTATAACCAGGACCTATTCATGTAGGGTCATGGGACAAATGTCTCTATGCCTAGAATTCCCTAATAAAATGTCCTTATGGCAATTTTTGTCCTCATTCAAGCACCTCTTCAAACTCATATTTTCTGTGAAGTCTTTGGCATCACCCTTTAGTTCTCACCCCAAACCAAAGCAAAATGTAAAAACAAATACCCACATTTGCTCATACTAATCCCTCATTAGCTTTGTCTTTGCTTTTGTTCCACTTCTCTTTTTCAACATTTAAAGTATAAATTCCTTGGACAGTTCAATACATTTTTATATTCTTCTGTGATGTTGTATATACAGTAATAACGCTGTTTAAAGTATTAATAATTGCAAGCAGACTAATTTTATGTGATGATTATCTCACCTTCTAGCTGCTGGCTCTAGTGGGTATTCGGAAGGCAATGGAATACATCTTCCCTCTACAACATCTGAGTTGGTTAGATGATATTATGCCAGAAAAAGACAAAAAAGAGGAAGAAGAAAAGCTGAAGAGGATACAAGATCAGGATGAGAGCGACAATGAAGATGTGAGCATGGTTACATTTTGGTGGATAAACAAGGTTGGGAAAGTGCTAAACTGGGTAGTAATTAGAAATTCTTTCTGTAGCATCATCTCAAAATCCCAGGATAAAATACTGAAGAAGTAAAATGTGTGACTTGTTTACGGGCAGAGAGTTCCTATCACTACCAGGCAAATCCTTCAGAAGTCATTTTCAGAATAACGGGAGCTGTAATCCGTGTTATCTTGGAATCAGCACATTAGCTCAATCCAAATTTTGGGGTCTGAGAAAATTAGTTGATCCATATTGACAATCATTAAACTACATATAGTTGTGGGACTGCAGGGACTAGAGTTCCTTTAAATTTTTGCTGTCATTTACAGTACTCAAAAGAATGTAATGTGCTGTGTATGCACATCTGAATAAGAAATCCCCTCATTCACAACTTGGGCTCACATCCTTTGGGAAAATGAAATAGTGGCACCTTTGTAGCTAGCTTCTGCAGGCTTCAGTTTTAGCTATCAGAAAATACCTGTATACTTGGTTAGTTGATTATCAGCTTGGCTTCAAGATTGTGTTTTTTTATCTTTATCACCCTAACTTTTATCAGCATTCCTTTCAGGGCCAATACTGTTTTGACTTAGCTGAGTAATAGCCATGCCCTTTTTCTGGATAATACTAACCACGGATAACTAGTTCCAGCTCCTAGGTACTCTTCACTGTTTGCTCCACAAGCAACTCATAAGATATATTGGGTTTGTTTTTTTCTTACAATTGACAAGATAACAGAATAACATAAGTGGACCTTGGAGGTCTTCTACCCAATCCCCTGCTCAAGCAGTGCCTCTTCCAGCAATGCCCCTGCAGACTGCAGTTTTCAGCAAAGTAGGACTGTTGCAAATCACTCTTAGAGAAAAGTTAGCAAATGTCTAGAATGGAGGTTAAGTATTTTCAGATACTGGTATGGAGTGAGGGATAAAAGATCCTCTCTGCAGAAAGGATCTCCCTGCAAGGTGACTTTTTCTCCATTGTGTCTTTGCCCCTTCAAAGGTTGTTAAAATCATTTTCTGAGGGAGGGGGAAAATATATCAAAAGCATGAGTGAGTATATATATATATATATATATATATATATATATATATATATATATATATATATATATATATATATATATGTTTTCTGATGTTTTCGCGGGTATTTGTATATAGGTCTTTGGTTGTTCGGGTTTTCTCCCGCGTAAAATTGGAAGTGTCTTGGCAACGTTTCGACGAAGTCACATTCGTCATCTTCAGGCTGGTGTTTTTAGCTTCTTGCTTTGAGCAGCAATGTGTGGTTTTAGCTGTTTCTTCCTTTTAACTGCCAGTGAGGGTATGAACTGATTGGATGGGAGCTTGGCTGTGTTCTGATTGGGTGGAGGTGTGTTCTGAATGGTTAGGGGCTTGGCTTTGCTCTGATTGGCTGGGGGAGTGTTCTGTTTGGTTGTGCTCAGGTTAGTCTGAGTTGCAGAGGGGTTTAAGATTTTGGGCTGCCTTGCTATTTTTTGGCTTCTCGTTCGTGGTCGTATATATATTACTTCTCTCCTTCTGATAACTGTTTCTTTGACTTATGTTCATTTTTAGTCTGAACTTATGTACCAAGAAAAAGGACCAGAGATCAATATCTCTGTGAACTAGATGAAGAGGTATCTATCAGTTGACAAGCCAAAGATGAACATGGAGGGTACGTAGCAACATTTTATTTTAAAACAAGGCATAGCCTATGGGGAAGTTTAGACTAAATAGAGAATAAAATGTTTACTACGAGTGTGATAGTCAATCAATTGTGGGACTACGGTATCCAGGTGGAGGGAATGTAATCCTTCAGAGTTCCCTTTCTTGCTATTGCACAAAGTAAGAGATTGGAAGTGAGGAAAAAAATACATGTGAAGAGAAAAAAAACCTGGCTGCCTCAAAAATTTCTGGTTTTATTAGGGTAGCAAACATCCTGCATTTTGCTCTCCCTGGCATAGGTTTTGCCAGTTTCACTCTTACCTAAAAAAATGCTGTTGCCATTGGCAATACTGTATCACTGTGACTGAGGACAGAACGTCCAAGCTGTCTGTCCATGGCACTTAGCAACTTAGCCATAGTGACAACCCCAAGGCAGATACAGCCCGTGTATCTCTGATCTGGAAGACCTCCGAGGAACAAGGAACATCGCTGTTTTATTTTTCCCATGTGCCTGTACAAGCAACTATAGTTAAATAATTCCCATTGATGCCATCACTTTTTGAAGCTTGGATATGTTTGCATCTCATAAAGATTTCTCAGTAGGCTGAAAACGTGTCTTTCACTCTCTGGTATTAGTTGCTGTGATAGGAGCAGAACGATAAATTAAACAAGCACAACAAAAGACAACTAAGGGGACATGTTGAAAAAATTCAGATATTACACAAAGCTGGTTCTTCTTACAGGTGCCTTCATCTTGTGGGTATTACCTAATCTGTTTTATAAGCTGCTTGGAAGACCTTTGATCTGGAAGTCATCTCATAACTATGGAAGAGGATAATAATGATAGCATGCATGTGCATTTCCTCGCTTACACTGTACATTTAGTATTAAATGACTTTCAGGAAATCATATACAATTGCATATTAGTTCCTTGATATTTTTCACTATTAATTGCTCCACAGGATGTGTCACAAATACAGAATGTGGGGTCCTTAATATGCAGCTTGGGGGTTATATACAGAATATAAACAACAAATATTGAATGTGCAATGAAACAAATCACTTTTCTCCTTTACATACAAAGCCTCAAGCTGTTGCCTTTAAAATGATTCTGGGTAGTTGGAGGAGGGGAAGGAGGCAGCATTTTCAGATGTTTTTATTTACACAATATATGATGAGTCTTATAAAGATGTAAAGCAGAGTTAAATGATTTGAGAAATTGAAGATAGACTGAAAATTGCTTAGGCATTCTGTGACATTGCTTGTACACTCAGTTAAGCATGGGTTAGTTAAGTATGGTTCATTTATTTATTGCTGGCTTATTACATAACCTGAGTTAATCTGTTGATGAACAGAAATCATATAACACATTAACTCAGCATCAATGTACAAATCCAGTCTGTGTGTATGTATGTATGTGTGTGTGTGTGTGTGTGTGTTTGTGTTTCTCAGATGTATTTTGCTGGAATCTAGAAAATCATAATATGTGACATCACCCTTTATTTATTCATGACACGGTGATCATTTCTGGGTTGCCTGCATTATTTAAAACTTCCTAAAGTTAAGCTAAATAAAATTTGTCAAAAGAAATATTGTTGCAAAATTTCCTTATTTGTTTCCTAGTATATCTTGAATTCTAGTTCTTCTTAGTTTTCTGCATTATTATTTTTTTCTGCTGGAGAAATTTACGGTGATGATCAGAAATGCTTGTTCTGTCCCTTCAGAAATTTGTCCAGTTAAAGTGTTAGCTTTGATTTCTCAGAAAACCTTTTTCATCTGTGGATGATAAATGCAAGCAACACATTTCTTGGATGGAGTAGGAAAGGCCTGTGTGAATGCCATTTTGCAGTATATTAAAAATGACTTTGCAAAAACAAAACTAAAATGGAAAGCACTTGAAAGTTCTTCTGACAAAAACTATGTTGATGATGCTTACTTTAATGAATAATTTGTCGTCGTCCTCAGCTATTCAGTCGTGTCTCTAACCCTCAGCCACTCTAGGAATCAGCAGTCCATGCCCCTCTCTCTTGCACCGCCTCCTTCAGATTCTCCATGGTCACCCGGGGTCATCCAGCCAGCAGGTACTAGGACAGCCGCTTTTTCTTCTTCCACTGATCACTCCCAGCATGACTGATTTTTTGAATGAGTCAGCTCTCATGAATAATTATAATACATTAAACCCAGTTCTTTTATTCTTCAAAACCCAGATCTAGTTAATACTGCAAGAAACAACAAAAAACGATACCCAGAATCATTATTTTAGCAACAAGCTCCTTAAAAACCTTAATTGTAGGATTATATAGGTAGACCTCAACTTACAACCACAACTGAGCCCAAAATTTCTATTGCTAAGTGAGAGATAAGTTAAGTGAGTTTTGCCCATTTTAAAACCTTTCTTTCTACAGTTGTTAAGTGAATCATTACAGCTGTTAAGTTAGTGACACGGTTGTTAAGTGAATATTGCTTCTGCATTGACTTTGCTTATCAGAGGGCTCCAAAAGGTAGTCACATGACCCTGGGGACACTGCAATAGTCATAAGTGTGAAAAACAGTCGTAAGTCATTTTTTTCAGTGCCACTGTAACTTCAAACATTCTCCAAATGAATGATTTTAAGTTGAAGACTATCTGTATTTATGTTTTAAAAACCCTAAAAGACCCTTGTAAATAATCCAAGAAAGCGTGAAGAAGATAGAATGACCCTCTGATCATTTTATTGATAGTAACAGCAAAATTGGGAAAAAGCCAACTACTGGTAAAATCCTTAAATACTGTTTTAGAAAATAATAGGATTGGAAGTGGCTATTGAGTCTGATTTCCATTTATCAGTTCAGGAATCCAAATTGAATCAACCCCAAAACAGCAAATTGGTCAGATTCCACTTTCTAGGTCAGAGGCCCCCAACCTTTTGGACCACCAAGGACCAGTTCTATGGAGAAAAATTCTTCCGCAGACCAGAGGAGGCATGGCTTCATGTACTGCTGGTATGCCGCAGCCCGGTGCTGGTCCACAGACCAGAGGTTGTTGACCCCTGTTCTAGGTCATGGACTGAAGCACCTCTTCTCTATCTCACTCCAGAGACTAGAACAAAAAAAAAGGTTCTTTATGGAAGGAAGCTTATCTTGCTATAGCTGGTCCCACTGTGAAATTAGGAATTCTTGCTATTATGAAGGTGTTTTTGATTTTATTGTTTATTTTAATAAGAATTTTGAATTTACCTTCCTATAACATACAGTGGTACCTTGGTACTCAACTGCTTTGAAACTCGCTTAATTTTGGTACTCAGCGCATTTTGTCATAAAAATTTTGTATCTGTTGGTGTCAGCTCACTATATTATTCCTTATGGGAAAAAATTGTTTGGTAATTCATTGTTTTTGGTACTCATCACACTTCCCGGAGCCAATTAATGATGAGTACCGAAGTACCACTGTAAATCCATTACTTTTTGTTCTACACTCTGCACTGATACAGAAGAGATGCTTCAGTCCCTGGCTCAGAAAGCCATGCTTTCTGAAGGCTAAATAATGCTTGATTTTTTAAATGCTTTATGAAACAGTCCTTCAATATTGCCCTCTTTAACAAAGCGAAGATAGATGCATTTTTGGAAGTTCCTTGCCTTTTGCATTATGTATTCTTACCCCTTAGATTTCACTTCATTCAAGATATCTTAGCAGTGGGATCTCTGCTGCTCCAGCCTCTTTTGAGTCCAGCTTGTACATCTGGCAGTTCTTGTTGCACATACTGCTGAAGTCTAGTTTGCAAAATCTTGAGCATTACCTTAGTAGCATATGGGACAAGTGCAAAACATTTAAGTGGTTTTAACATTTTTTTAGTATGCTGTATTTTGGGACTAAGATATTAGATTTTTTTTTTTTTTTTTGCTAAACTTGATTTGGATTTGCAACTAGGGGGTTAACTTAATGGATGCATTATAGTAAAAACCCAGATGAGAATTGTCCTTTAGGCATTCAGGATATTGACATTGGTTAATTTTGAAAAGGCTAAGCTTGTGAACTTTTACATAGAGCCTCACCACCACCAAACAAAAAAAAAAATCCAAGAATAGACTAGATAGGGAAGTTGAAAAAATATCCTGATGGAAAAAAATGTACATGAGGAAAAAATTAATAACTGCCTGGAATAATGGATTTATTTTTTAAAATTCATCTAATTTACAGAGGCATTGTATAAAGTTTATAAATCAAGAGACATCAAAGAATTTAAATAAATATTTATGGTTCAACTAGTATGCTTTTAAATGGCTTTAACTGGAACTTGATCAGTTCTATACTTTGAATATTGAATACTTTTAAAGTCTAAGCAGATCTACTAGGAATGGAGAATATGTGTTAAATTACTGACTTTTTGTGTGAACTGAATCAAAGTAAGATAATGCTGAAAGAAATTTTCTGGACATAATCCATAGTGATTATAATAAAATTAATTTCCAATACGTAAAACTTTATTACACTTTGTTTTCTATAAATGTAGAATAGTTATTAAGTAATGGACCTTTAAAAAAAACTTTTGTTTTTGAAATCTTGGTTGCTTATTCAAGAAATTTAGCTGTATTCTTTACTTTACAGAAAGCATTTGACATTATTGAAACAATGCAATATGGATAAAATTCCCGTATAGGGGTATAACAAATTAAGTTGCTTGTTTTTTACCATATTAAAGATTTAATTACCTGCTTACCAATGATTTTCAAATTGCTGCTGGTTTTATAGCTGATGCAGTCCAAACAAGCCCTTTCCACCTGAGTCAGCTCCTAATTAATAGGATGATCCTGTAAAACTGCAAAAGAAGGAATATCAACTTGAATGTAGCTAGGAGACAGTAGAAACAAAGATCAATGGCACAATGGAAGACATGGCTGCAGATCAATGATAATAGACTGGGTGAGGTTAACATCTAGGAAAGGAATTTTTCAAAGAGACTCGTTATCACCACTACTGTTTGTCATTGCACTGATTCCTTTATCAACAATACTGAATAACTCAGGCCATGGCTATCAAACATCAAAAACAGGCTATCCCTCCTTCTTTACCCGATGATCTCAAACTGACAGACTTGAACATTGGGCGCTATCTAACAAAATGAAATGCAATGGTGAAAAAGTAAGGTTCTACATTTAGGCAAGAAAAAAATAAATACACAGATATAGTATAGGTGGTACCTTGCTCAATAGTAGCAACTATGAGAGGGATCTTGGAGTCCTAGTGGACAATCACTTAAATATGAGCCAGCAGTGTGCTGCAGTGCCAAAAAAGCCCAGACCATGTTAGGCTGCATTAACAGAGGGATAGAATCAAGATCACGTGAAGTATTAATACCACTTTACAATGCCTTGGTAAGGCCACACTTGGAATACTGCATCCAGTTTTGGTCACCACAATGTAAAAAAGATGTTGAGACTCTAGAACGAGTACAGAGAAGAGCAACAAAAATGATCAGGGGACTGGAGGCTAAAACATATAAGGTATGGTTGCAGGAATTGGGTATGTCTAGTGTAATGAAGAGAAGGACGAGGAATGACATGATAGCAGTGTTCCAATATCTCAGGGGCTGCCACAAAGAAGAGGGAATCAAGCTATTCTCCAAAGCGCCTGAAGGCAGGACAAAAAGCAACGGGTGGAAACTAACCAAAGAGAGAAGCAACCTAGAACTAAGGAGAAATTTCCTGACATTTAGAACAATTAATGAACAGTGATGTTTATTAATGCTGTTTTATGATCACTATGTGGAAATTGTATTTATATTATTGATGTAAGCAACTGACTATCATGATTGATACAAGCATTTGAAATAAATGTCATCAACTAAATCCACAGGCTTCAAATTTAAGCAAGTTGGCAGTGACACATCTAACAAGAAAGACTTGCAAGAAAGAAAGAAAGAAAGAAAGAAAGAAAGAAAGAAAGAAAGAAAGAAAGAAAAGAAAGAAAAGACAACAGTTACACAAAGTAATTATAAGCTTCTAGACAAGACTCAGAAAAGTTGGATCATGCCCAAAATGGGGAAGAGCAAAGAAAATAAAGGATATGTTTGGACCAGTAAGTGGATTTACATTATGCCTATTCATGTTATCAAAGAAGAAGAGACTAGAAATAAAAGAAGGGTATAGGATAGTCCTAAGGATGCTATGGCCTGGATAAGAATAGTTTTATTTCAAAATGCATACTGTTATTAAGTTCTCTAATAACTAACACAAAGGCTCACTTTTAAACTTCTACTAGGAAATTGGTGGCATTGCAAGAATCTACTTTCTTGGAAAAAATTTCCCTGTCAATAAATAAGCGCAGGCTCCTTCCCTTATTATTAGGGATGCCCAGACAAAGGTGCTCAGAATATTTTGCTCCTGATAATTACTCCAGTTTTGTCTCAGCTGGGCCATCACTATACAAAACAGAACAAAATAGAAACCCTGACACAAGATTTCTAGTTACTTCAGATATGTATAAGGTGTGTGTGTGTGTGTGTGTGTGTGTGTGTGTGTGTGTGTGTGCGCGCGCACACACATTCTTATATTCAGAAATCTGGCTGAGTTGAGGTCCTGAAGAAAAAGTAATTTTGAACCCTGTAAAAACCAAATATACATGTACAAATTTTGTTTTAAGTGTATTCTCCGTGTCTGTACTAGATGCATTGCCTTTAGACTTTCACTGGTCTGAACATTTTGCATGATATATATAGCAATGGTCATTTGCAGTGATGAAGTTCTGTCCATCAGTGTTTTGAGCAAATAACTGATTAATTCTAAACAAAAACAACTGATGAATCTGAGTATGTTCTCTATTCTTGCTTTTTTTCTCTTTGTATTCCTAAGAGTGAAGTTATATGCTCCCTTCTCTTTTTGAGATGAAATGAATAAATACCGAAATAAACATTATGGAGATTAACAACAAACCCCAGTGAGATAACTGAAGTTCAGTTTGAGGCAGGGGAAAAAAGAAATCATCTTTTAAAAATTACAGGCAGTGTCTGCTGCAAAAACATTTTGAATAGTTGGCTATGATCCATCAAGAAAATTTATGAGTTTTAATGCTGCACAAATGGTTTATTTCTACATGGTGTATGCACAGATAGGGGAAGGAAAAGAAACAACCAAGAAACCTGGTGACTCCTGGCCCATTTGTGCCAAATCATGACAAACAAATATAATCTCATCTGTGTTGCCATTCAACAACAAATAAGTAGGAACACATACATTTTCATCATTTCCATATGTTAAACAGAAAAAGATAAGGACAAAAACACAAAGTTGTCTTTACACACAAAGTGATTCAACACAGGGCTTTTCAACCAGTGGTACCCATACCACCTCTGGTAATTTGCCACGTGGCAGGTAGTACGCAACTGCTAGCCAAGTGTAGCAGGAGAGGGGAATGAGCCTAAGCAGCCTGAGGAAGAGGCAGCTGCAGCTGCATGATTGGACTAGGCAGAAGCCCCAGGAGCCAGCAGGGCTCCAGCTGATTGGTTCCAGCTGATTGGTGCTTCCAGAAGCAGCTTGGAGCTGGAGGTGAACCGAAGAAAAAGGGGGGGGGAGAGGAGAAGCTATAAAAGAACGTGGTTTGGGTGGGGAAAGGGAAAAACAACAACAGGAAAGATTTAATCCCTTTAAACAAATGTAATTAGTTTTATCCCCTTTAATTGAACCTGTCTATGGCTTTTAGAACGTTTTCTTTGAAGGTAAACAGGCTTAATTTAAAGCTAAAGCTTTTTGCAATTGTCGGAGTCTTTCAGTCTAGAATTGCAACATTGTGACATGTGACACACCTGAGGCAGCTTAAAGCAGCGGTTCTCAACCTATGGGTCGCGACCCCATTTGGGGTCGATCGACCATTTCACGGGGGTCACCAAGCAAGGATATCCACCATTTTTTCCCCTTTTCCGGTGGGTGCCTTACCTCCCTTGGACTGGGCCAGCTGGTGGCCCAGCCGGTGGTCGGCCTGCTCTGTCTCTGCCGCTTGCCAGCTACGCCTTGGCCGGTGCAGGGGGCGGCACCACGCATGCGCGGCGTTCCCGGACAGGGAAAGTCCTCGACTTATGACCTGTTGGGTAGTCCTCAACTTACGATCGGTTTAGTCCTCGACTTACGACCGGTTGGGAGTCACAGCATTAAAAAGGTTGAGAACCACTGGCTTAAAGAGAGAAAAAAACAGAGTTTGTGTTTATTTTATGTTCTTGCTTTGCACTTGATTCCTGTTTCTTTAAGGCAGTGCTTCTCAAATAGTGGGGTGCGCCCCCCAGGGGGGGCGCGAGGCTCCGTAAAGGGGGGCTCATTTGACCTCGGCAAATACTGTCATATTGGATTTCTAGATCGGGTCATCCGACTCACTCGCAAGCGGCAGCCCGACGCGGAGGACAACATGACCACCAACGCACATGACACATGCAAAGGACCCGATTGGATAGACATGATGCTCTATCCTGATTGGCCAAACCCGCCTGTGTGACTTTTAGACCCGGAAATCGGTCCTCTGTACAGAAAAAAATTTTTTACAGTCGCGCGGGGGGCGCGAAATGTTTTCTTCTTCCTAGGGGGGCATGACAGAAAATAATTGAGAAGCACTGCTTTAAGGGTACAGGGAAGGGATGGGGGGGTGCAGTCTTACTACACCAAGAATATCTCAGAAGGGAGAGAGGAAGAAGTGCAGACCAGCTAGCTCAGGAATCTACAAACTTAGCAACTTTAAGACCTGTGGACTTCAACTCCCAGAATTCCTCAACCAGCCATGAAGGCTGAGAAATTCTGGGAGTTGAAGTCCACAAGTCTTATAAAAGTGTCAAGTTTGAAGACCCCTGAACTAGCTGGTAGTGGTGTATATTAATAAACATGGATAAATTCATCATACATTTGTCAATGCAAAGGGAAAGTGTTTCAGCAAAGGAACAGCCACCAAAGAAACTGGTACTTTTTCCCTTTTTTCTATAGTTTGTAATATTTTATTAGATTATAGAATAAAATACAAAAATACAAAAGCAAATAGTAGGACTCAGTGGGAGGAAAAAAGGGGGGAAAGTGAGGGGGAGAAGGGAAAAAGAACAGACTTTCTCTGTTGCAGTAGAAGGAAGCATTAAGATTGAATCTCAACTTTTTACTTTTCCATAATATTATAAACTAGCCATTTCTATAACAACAAATGAATCTAATCAGTAAAACCCAAAATCCCTCCTTTTTTTAGTCATCAAGTTTTTGACACCTTGCTAAGCACTGGTGGTACTCTAATATTGTCATGTCCTAAAAGTTGTTGTTAATTGCGAAGTCGTGTCCGACCCATCGCGACCCCATGGACAATGTTCCTCCAGGTCTTCCTGTCTTCTACCATCTTCTGGAGTCCATTTAAGTTCACGCCTACTGCTTCAGTGACTCCATCCAGCCACCTCATTCTCTGTCGTCCCATTCTTCTATTGCCCTCAATCTTTCTCAGCATTAGGCTCCAATGAGTCCTTCCTTCTCATTAGGTGGCCAAAGTATTTGAGTTTCAACTTCCGGATCTGGTACAATCTATGAAAAGGTTGAAAAGCCCTGCTGTGTGGAGAAGGTTTTGTGGTCAATGAAACAAATGAAGCTGATCTCTAGATAAAAAAAAAAAAGCAGCTAACTGTAAAAGAGAAAAGGCAACATAATGAGAGAAAGAGACAAAGAGAGGTAGGTCGGTCTGGGAACAGATGTTTCGGAGAATACCTGGCTCCATTCCTCAAAGATCTTTAATATTTCTGATAGTATAATATTTTATTTCATTCTTTAAGTCCCAATATTAATTGACATGTGTTGTGACCTAGGCTTAATGAGGAAACTCAGCAAGCCCAGAAATATTGCAAATGGTCCCGGGCAACCTTAAAAGCTGCCCAGGACCAGACTGGTTGGCGCCGCTCTTGCGTGTAGGTGCAAGGCGTGAATAAAGGGGATTTATAATTGGATGTGGGGAAAACTATAAAAGGCCTGCAAGCCTGTTGGATTGCTGAGTGGTAACGTGGAACAAATAAAGAAGAACTTGGTTAACAACTTTTGTGTCGCTTCAATGCCACGAACCCCAATACACAAAAGTGGTGACGAAGATGGGATCGCTGCAAAGAAGAAGATAACTTGAAGAACCTAGCCTCTACAAAAAGAGCTGGAAGCTGGGAAGTCGGCACCCAGATCTGCACTCACCTGCCAGTTCGCAAACGCTGGAGGTGGGCTTGGCAAACGGGCCTCTTCCCAGCCGGAGTTGCAGCGAGGCTAAGAGAAGCCTTGGCCATTGTGGCTGGCATAAAGAAATTCCATGATTTCTTATATGGCCACCATTTCACGGTCTACACAGACCATAAGCCTCTGCTGGGTTTGTTTACTACTAACAAACAGACACCATACATTATTTCCCCACATATACTGAGATGGTCAATTTTCCTATCAGCATATGATTACTCACTCATTCACAAACCTGGAAAAGAGATGGGCCATGCTGATGGCCTCAGCAGATTACCTCTCAAACAAATAGAGGCAGATCCTGCTCCTGCTATTCACATTCTCTCCATTCAGGAGTTGCCTGAATCTCCCCTCAATGCTAGGGACGTGGCTGCAGAAACTGCCACTGATCACACGCTCACACTCGTACTAACATGGGTCTTGTCAGGATGGCCTGACATGTGTCCAGATGCTGCATTTCAAAGCTTTTGGCAAAGAAGGCACGAACTGTCTACATTTAAAGGGTGCCTGATATGGGGCAGTAGAGTAGTTATCCCACTCTCACTGAGGTCTAGAGTCTTGTCCTCGCTGCATGAGGGACATCTGGGCATTGTGCGCATGAAAGCGCTTGCACACAGCCATCTTTGGTGGCCTGGGCTTGATAAAGCTATCAAGACCCAGGTGCACGGGTTCCAGGTGTGCCAACAGTCATGGCCTGAAATGCCTCAGGCCACTGTACACAGGTGGGAGGAGACACAAACCCCTTGGTCAAGGGTACATTTAGATTATGCTGGGTCCTTTCAGGGGCAATTCTTCCTTATCCGGTGGATAGCCATTCCAAGTGGCTAGAGATTGTACCTGTCTCCTCCACTACTACTCCACTACTACTGCTAGGACCATCCAGGTGTTGAGAGGAATCTTCGCTACCCATGGGCTTCCTGATGTCCTCGTCTCTGACAATGGCCCCCAATTTACTTCTTTTAAGTTCCAGGTTTTCCTACAGGCCAGCTTGATCTGGCACGCAACATCAGCTCCTTTCCACCCTTCAACCAACGGGCAAGCCGAACGGATGGTACGCACCACCAAAGATGCATTCAAAAGACTCACGCATGGTAGCTGGCATCACAGGTTAGCAGATTTTCTTCTTGCACACCACACCACACCATGCACGACCACTGGCAAGAGCCCAGCTGAACTCCACTGGGGTTGCTGCCTCATCACGAAGTTGGACAGACTGCACCCAGACCAGGTGGCTTCACAGATGTCACAGCCGCAGGCACCTAGGAGACTTCTTACTGTGCCTAGGGATTTCCGCAGGTTGTTGTTGATGCCCCAGTGGCAGAGCAAGGGCATCCTCACGATTCAGCTATTGCTCCAAACAGGGAGTCACCCCGTGGGATGGCCTGCACATCAGCAAGTGCTCCAAACAGGAATTCTTCTGATAGGGGGTTTGCCATAGAGGCGGCTCCTGACTCTGGCATCTCGGCCACATACACAGGAGACTAGAACTATTGGGGCACGGCTGCAACACAGGTCATGTCCGAG